TTTAAATTGTTTTAAAAAAATTTATTTCTGAGAGAGACAGCGTGAGCAGGGGAGGGTCAGAGAGAGAGGGAGACACAGCATCCGAAGACAGGCTCTAGGCTCTGAGCTGTCAGCACAGAGCCTGACGTGGGACTCAAACCCACAAACCGTGAGATCATGACCTGAGCCAAAGTCAGACGCTTAACCAACTGAGCCACCCAAGCGCCCCAGATGTTTATTTATTTTTGAGAGAGAAAGAGGCAAAGCATGAGTGGGGGAGGAGCAGAGAGAGAGGGAGACAGAATCCAAAGCAGCTCCAGGCTCCAAGCTGTCAGCACAGAGTCTGACGCGGGACTTGAACGCGGGAACCAACCGCGAGATCACGACCTGAGCCAAAGTCAGATGCTTAGCCCACTGAGCCACCCAGCCACCCCCAATAATTTTTTTAAAATTCGTACTTTTTGGGGCACCTGGCTGGCTCTGTCAGAAGAGCATGCAGCTCATGGTCTTGGGGCCGTGAATCTGAGCCTCACACTGGGTATAGAGATTATTTAAGTAAATTAAAAAAAAAAAGGTTCATGCTCTTTGATCTGTCTGTTCTAGAATTCTATTCTAAGGAGATTAATCAGAAATATAAATATCTTGTACACAGATAGCCATTACAGAATTTATATTTTTAAACTTTCTTTTTACATTTTATTTATTTTTGAGAGGGGGAGGGGCAGAGAGAGAGGCGGTCAGAGGATCTGAAGCAGGCTCTGCACTCACAGACCTTGAGATCATGTCAGATAATCAACCGACTGAGCCACTCAGGTGCCCTTATTTTTAACTTTTCAACTTATTTTTATTTTTCTTAAGTAGGCTCCATACCCAAGGCGGGGCTCCAACCCACACCCCCGGGATCAAGAGTCGCATGCTCCACCGGCTGAGCCAGCCCCACGCTGCTGGACTGATGTTTTTGTGAAATATCACAGACACTAGTTACTAGAAACATGAAGTGGAAAAAGTCTTATAAGATACAAACTCAACCTTTGCCTTTTAGATTTAGGGGTCAGGCCCTTGCCGGCCGGCTGTAAAGTTCTGAGCACTTGCTCTCAGTTTCTGCGAGTGTCTGGTGGCCGCGCAGGAACAGAGCCGGCGCTCTGGAACACTGACGGCCCCTCCTGTACGCGCTCAAGCCTCGGCGGCCGCTCCCCTCCCTGGCTCGTTCCTGCTCCCCGAAGGGGCGGCCGCCAAGCTCCCCCGTGCAGCGTCCCCGACAACATACATGGCGGACAGCTCCTCACCCCAGGACACTCGCGGCTACTCGTCATCGCTGGCTGAGCCATGTCCCGTCACGGGGCTGCTCTGCGGTCACTGCCACTGCGCCCAGTCCTGCAGCAAGTTCTCCAGAACTCTGCCCCATGTTCCCAGGAAGGTTCCGTGCGCGGTGTGTGCAATTAGTCGTAAAAAGTAACGGCTCTGAGGCGCCTGCGTGGCTCAATTGGTTGAGCGTCCGACCTGAGCTCAGGCCATCTCACAGTTGGTGGGTTCGAGCCCCACCTAAGGCTTTGTGCTGTCAGCTCGGAGCCTGCTTTGGATTCTCTGTCTCCTTCTCTCTCGGCCCCTCCCCTGCTCGCGCTCACTCTCTCTCCCTCCCTCAAAAATAAGTAAACATTAAAAAAAAAAAAAAGTACAGCTGGGGCGCCTGGGTGGCTTAGTCGGTTAAGCATCAGACTTTAGCTTGGGTCATGATCTTGCGGTTCGTGGGTTCGAGCCCCGCGTCGGGCTCTGTGCTGACAGCTCGGAGCCTGGAGCCTGTTTCAGTCTGTGACTCCCTCTCTCTCTGACCCTCCCCTGCTCACGCTCTCTCTCTCTCTCTCCTGGAAATAAATAAAACATTTAAAAAAAAGTACAGCTTTATTGAAATATGACTCACCTACCATAAGATGTGCCCTTTTCACTATGGTCAGAGCTGTGCAGCCTTTCCTACCTAATTACAGAACCGTTTCACCACCCGTAAAAGAAACCCATACCCACAAGCACTGGCTGTATTCTTCCTTTTCCCCAGACCCCGGGGGCCACACATCTACCTTCTGTTCCTACGGATTTGCCTGTCCTGGACACGCATATCAGTGGAATCAGACATATGTGACCTTTTTTGCGTCTTTCACTTTGCGTGTTTTCGAGTTTCCTCCGAGTGGTAGCGCGTGTCAGGACTTCTGCCCCTGCGACGGCTGAACGGTCCTCCATCCGTACGCGCACAGCCTCTGTTCATGTGTCATCGGCTCACAGACGTCTGTACCCCGACTTCCCTGTGCTCATCTGCTTTCAGTTCCCTCAGGGATGCACTCAGGAGGGCGAGTTGCTGGCGCCTATGTTTAACATTTTGAGGAAATGCCAATTTGTTTTCCAAAGTGGCCCCAGCATTTTACAACCACCCGGCCATACAGGATTTATAATTTCTCCCAGTCCGCAGCAAACCGCGTTATTACCTGTTTTACTGTAGCCATCCTAGCTGGGGACGAAGTGGTAGCTCATTAAGATTTCATGTGCATTTTGCTAATACCAGTGATGCTGAGCATCTTTTCATGGCTTATTAGCTATTTGTATATCCGTCTTGGAGAAATGGCCACCAAAATTTTTTGCTCATTTAATTGGATTGTCTCTTCATTTTTGAAATAAGTCCCTTATAAGATTCACGATTTGCGGGGCGCCTGGGTGGCTGTCAGTGAAGCGTCTGACTTCAGCTCAGGTTGTGATCTTGCAGTTTGTGGGCTCGAGCCCCGCGTCAAGTTCTCTACTGTCACCTCAGAGTCGGGAGCCTGCCCCAGATTCTGTCTCCCCTTCTCCCTGCCCCTCCCCCACCCATGCTCCCTCTCCCTCTCTCTCAAAAATAAACATTAAAAAAAAAAAAGACAAATGATTTGCCAATATCTTCTCCCTTTCTGTAGGTTGTCCTTTCATTTTTTGAAATTTTTTAAAAGTTTATTATTATTTTTAAACGTTTATTGAGAGAACCAGAACATGAGTGGGAGAGGGGCAGAGTGGAAGACACAGACTCTGAAGCAGCTCCAGGCTGAGCTGTCAGCACAGAGCCCGACGCGGGGCTCAAACTCATGAACCATGAAATCAAGACCTGAGCTGAAGACAGATGCTTAACTGAGCCACCGGGGTGCCACCAAGTTTATTTAGAGAGGAGAAAGCATAAGCAGGGGAGGGGTAGAGAAAGAGGGAGAGAGAGAGAATCCCAAGCAGGCTCCATCCCATGAACTGTGAGTTCATGACCTGAACTGATTTCAACCAACTGAGCCACCCAGATGCCCGTCCTTTGCATTTTCTTGAAGGTGGCCTTTGAAGCACAAGTTTTTAAGCTTGATGAGGGTCCACTTTATCTAATTTTTGCTGCTTTTGCTTCTGGTGTCTTCAGAAACCATCACCTGGTCAGGTGCATGCAAATTTATGTTTTCTTCTAAGAGTTTTAGCTGTTACATTTTGGTCTGTGATCCATTTTGGTGTTTGTATATGGTACGAGATAGGGGTTCGGCTTCATTCTGGGTTTTTTTTTTTAATTTCTGAGAGAGAGAGAGGAGAGAGAGAGAGAGAGAGAGAGAGAGAGAGAGAGAGAGAGAGCGCAGGGGAGAGACAGAGAGGGAGACACAGAATCTGAATCAGGCTCCAGGCTCTGAGCTGACAGCACAGAGTCTGACGCGGGGCTCGAACCCATGAACCCCGAGATCATGACCTGAGCTGAAGTCAGACGCTTAACCGACTGAGCCACCCAGGCGCCCCCATTTTTTGGTAAGTGGATATTCAGGTGTCCCAACAGTATTTGGTAGAAAGACCGCTCTTTCCTCATATTTGATGTTGTCAAATTGTCGTCCGAATTGTTGTCAAATTGCACTCCCCCCATAGGAGCTAAGTGGCGGTGTCTCAGACTGGCCGTTGATGGTTAGGAAGACACCGGGGAACCGCAGCACGTCGGGGCCACCGGGAGGGCTGAGCAGTGGCCTTGAAAGAGAGCGGCCTGAGCGGGTGGGCTGAAGGAAGTGGAAAGGTTTCTCTCAGATAAGACACGGAGGTGGGGACGCTGAGCCTGGAGGGGGCGGGTCTGAGCGGGCGGGCCCTGCCCCTTGCCACCGCAACCCAGAGCTCCCAGCCTCAGCTCCATCACCTGCTGAACAGGGGGCTGCTCCCCTTTGTGGAGTTGCTGTGAGGCGTGAGAGTACGCTGACCCCCAGCCACACAGGCCCTAGTGACAGCAGCCACAGTGCCCTTCCAGCGCGTGCTCTACGTGGCTGACACCACGCAACCGCCGGGGAGCGTCACAGTGGGACACGGTGCCAGGGTCATTGGGTGAGTGTGAGCTTTTCAGTGGCGACTGATGGCGTGTGGGGGCCTGGCTCCACAGTGTGTCACTGTCACCCAGAGTGAGGCGGTACTTTAAGCCTCTGCTGTGACACGTTACGGGAAGGACGAGACAGAGACAGATCCTGCGCTGGGCCAGCTGGGGGTGCCTGCAGGGGCTTCTGGGGAGTTCGGAGGTCAGGGTGGGCGCCTCTGTACCGTCCCCTTGTCCCCTAGCTTTGTCCCTGTTCCCTGAAAGCCAGGATGAAAGGAGGGGCTCCTGTCACGGAAAGGGGGTTTTGCTCTGAGCACAGAGGCTGTGGCACACTTAAGGCTCTGTGGCCAGGGCCCTTGTGTGGGTCGCCCAAAGCCCAGGAAGAGAAGCTGCTGGAAATGTGTGCGGGGCGGGCGGGGCACAACCAAGGCCGGGGTCTCCTCCTCTTGGCTTCAGTCCCCAGAGTGGCCGATAACAACAGCATCAAAACCTAAGCACCCGCCCCCCTTTTGTCCCCCGGGCCAGGCCGGAGAGGAACACACCCACGTCTCATTAAGCTTTTATGAGCGCGGGAAGGCAGAGCGGACCCACGCGGCGGCAGGTGGGCGCCGGGGGCCGCAGCAAGGACCCCAGCTGTGCCGGGAAGAGCAGTCCCGGACCCCGGAGGCCTGCTCTGCGGGGGACGAAGCCCAGGACGAACTGCAGATGTGCGGCAATAGCTGCTTTTACTCAAGTGACAGCAGGGACGGAGGGACAGGAAGTCAGCGGACGTGGGGTGAGCCAGTGGCAGGGACAAGAACGCAGGTTGATGGAACTGCCCGGAAGGGTGAGCGAGCAGAGGGAAGGCCGCTCCTCGTACCGTAGGAAGCAGACAGAAGGCGTCTGAAAGGTGAACGGGGATCTTTCCGCCCCGCCCAAGGCGGCCTGCGCACACAGCGTGGGGGGGCTGCTGGCGGGACCACTGGGCTGGGGGGAACCGGAAACCCCTTCTCTGAGCTCAGAGAGATGGACGAGGAAAACCATGAGGAAGGGCGCACAGTGACCCCCAGGGCTGGGGTGCGGGGAGAATAAATGCCCTCGGGGCGGGACGCGAGGCGGGCAGGGGTGGGCCCGGCTGGCATCAGGGCAGGAGCACCAGCTGCTGCTGAGGAGGGAGGGGGAGCGAGCCGGGGCCTGGCTCTGGGGTCTGCAGGGAGGCAGAGGGAGACGAGGTGGCCAGGGCAGTGCCTGCAAGTGTCAGGGTGACCGCAGAGGACAGCCACCAGCCTCGGACACAGAGCAGCAGCCTCCGCGGGCAGAGGGCGGGGCCAGACCCACACCTCGAGGGCTGGCTGGGAGGCCGAGGGCCTCCAGGGCTTAGTGGCCAAACAGCCAGCCTCTGGGGCCGGGGAGGGGTGGGACCCCTGGAGCCCAGCCTGGCGGGGGGCGGGGGGGGGTCTGTGGGCAAGTGCAGTCTCGAGCTAGTTAGTGTCGTCGAGAGCCAGTGTCACAGGCAGCCGGCAGGTCAGAGGGGCTTGCGGGTCGGCCGCTGCCGCCGTCACTTCCGCAGGAGTTTCTTGTTGAGGAGGAAGATGAGCAGGTTGACATTGACCTTGGCCTTATTGAAGAGCTTCATAACAGCTACACCTTCGTACTGGAGCTGCAGGAGGTCCTGGGGAGAGCGGGATGGGCTGCTGGCAGCGGCCCGTCAGTCTCCACAGCACCCGCGCCCCCGAGCCTCACTCCCCACCCAGCGGCACTGCCATCAAAACCGTGCTTATGAGGGGCGCCTGGGTGGCTTAGTCGGTTAAGCGTCCGACTTTCGCTTAGGTCATGATCTCGCGGTTCGTGGGCTCGAGCCCCGCGTCGGGCTCTGTGCTGACTGCCGGCTCAGAGCCTGGAGCCTGTTTCAGTCTGTGACCCTCTCTCTCTGACCCTCCCCTGCTCACGCTGTCTCTCTCTCTCTCTCTCTCCTAGAAATAAATAAAAATATTAAAAAAAAAAAAAAACGTGCTTATGAGGACGTCAAGGCCAAGAGGGGCACGGCGACTTGACCAAATGTGAATTCGAGCAAAGTCAGGGCTCGAAATCCATTTTCTCATTCAAAAGGCCAAAGAGCAGAACAAAAAGATGTGGGTTTAAAGTCCCTGATTCCAGGGGCATCTGGGTGGCTCAGTCAGTTGAGCGTCCGACTTCGGCTCAGGTCATGATCTCACGGTTTGTGGGTTCGAGCCCCACATCAGGCTCTGTACTGACAGCTCGGAGCCTGGAGCCTGCTTCTGATTCTGTGTCTCCCTCTCTCTCTCTGACCCTCCCTTGCTGACACTGTCTCTCTCTCTCTCTCTCAGAAATAAATAAAACATAAAAAAAAAAAAATTTAAAGTCACTGCTTCCCAGGGCGCCCGGGGGGCTCAGGCGGTTAAGGGACTGACTCTTGATTTCAGCTCAGGTCATGATCTCATGGCTGGTGAGTTCGAGCCCCAAGTCAGGTTCTGTGCTGACAGTGTGGAGCCTCCTTGGGCTCCTCTCTCTAATCCCCTCTACAGCTCATGCTATCTGTCTCAAAATAAACACACACACACACAAACATAATCACAGCGGCCCCGAAAGCTGGCCTGTGACGTAGGCCACGTCCTATGTGTCAGCTTCAGCGCCTGGACAGCAGGGGTCCTGCTTCGGGCTGTGCAGAGGGCTGCACCGGGGCACGCGAGGTCCCAGACCCAGGCTGGGATGTCAATGCTCACCCCGCTCTGACACTGCCCGCCCGCTGCACACTCTGTACTTGGCAGCAGGGTCTGTCAGGGCCTGGGGACAGAGGGGCTCGGCTGCAAACCCCTCAGCCTTCTGTTCGGGAACGGCCAGTGCTGGCGAGTGGGGAGAGGGGCAGATGCCCTCTGAGGCTGAGGGGGCGAGAGGGGCCGCTGTCCTGGGGCGCCGGAGCCTGCAGGCAGCTGAGGGCCCCCGGGAGGCCTCTCACCTGGTAGTGAAGCTGAAACCGCTCCATGTCCACCCCCAGGAACCGGGCATTGACCTCGAACTTCCCGGCCTCGTCTCCAGGGCTGATGTCAAAGATCACGTTTCTGAAGCTTTCGGGGACAGGATTCAAAACGCAGACTCAGGGCCTCTTTCCAGCCCCCCCCGCCCCCCCTCCAGAGCCCAGCCTTCCCGTCAGCACTCCCGGGGCCACGGCTGCCTGTCTCGTGTGTCCCAGGCCCTTACAGCCACCCCCTCCTCCAGGACGGGGCCCCTGCGTCCTCCTCCTTGGGTGTCCAGGGCTGTGCCGGACCACGTGCATTGCCCTGGGCTATCTGTCCGCAGGTGTCCTGTCTCCCGTCACCCCACAGCCCCCCCAGGCAGGGCCAGGCCGGGGGCCCAGTGGGGGCCTGACGTCCTGCCCTCCAGACACACGTACTGAGAGGCGGGCAGGCCCTCGATGTCCAGCAGGACCCCCCTCTCCAGGAGCTGGGCGGCCGTGTAACGCAGCGATGGCCGTTTCTTCCCTTTCCCGGAGCTCCTGGTTTGAAAAAGGGCCAGAGAATTCAAGGCGCAGGGTCTTCAACGCCGAACACCTCAGTTCTCTCTGTGGCCGCAAAGTCCCACCCCAGGACTCCGTGAGGGGCTCGGAGGCCTGGGTCAGAAAGGGACCATGCCGTCCTGGGGCCGGCTCCCTTTCAGAGGTCACATGGGCAGAGGTGAGGGGTCCCAGGGAGCCCCGGCGTGCCCGGAGGCGGCACCTACTTGGTGCGGGCGGCCAGCTGGCCCAGGCAAGCCCGGATGTACTGGCCGTAGTAGTCGGCCTGCTCCTCGTAGAAGGTGGCCTTACTGTCCAGGCCGCGCAGCGTGGCCTGCAGCTTCACCAGCTCCGCCTTCCGCCGCTGCCGGCGCCGGCGCTGGTTGCAGATGTCCTGGGTTGGGGGACGAGGGAGGGGGAGTTGCCCCCTGCGACAGGAGCGCCGGAGGCCTGGCGGGGCCCACACGACCCCTTGGGAGGGCCTCCAGGAAGAGGGGGGTTTCGCCGCTGCTTTCCCAGGGGGAGGGGGCCTCCAGGGTTCCTCCCGGACCCTCACGGCCGCGGCCTCCCCGGCCGAGGAGTAACGATCCAAGGTTCCTTGCCTTTCAGTAAGGAGCTCCCGGGGTAATTTCGAGACCTCCCCTTCAAAACGGGCCCTCTGCCGCCCCGTGGACACATGCCAGGGGGAGGCCGCCTCCCGCCCCCCGCGCCCGGGTCACACCTTGGCCAGTTCATCCACCAGCCCCTGGTAGCCGTCGCTGGCGCGGAGCAGCCCCAGGCCCTCCAGCCGCCGCAGGTTCCGCAGGACGCGCCGCCGCTTGTCCGCCAGCGGCAGGAGGGAGTGCGCCGTCAGCGAGCAGTGGCGCCGCAGAGGCTCCGGGGTCCGGCTCTCATAGGCCTGGCGCCGGCTCGTCAGCCGCTCGTGGGCCGCTTCCTGGGGGGAGGAAGGAAGAGCTACGGGGGTCTGCCAGGCCCGCCACTCCGCCCCTGGCCAGGGTGGGTGGATGGGGACGTCACAGACGGACGAGGACTCCGGGGGTCACCCCAGGGGAGCAGTGGCCCCAGGGAGACCCGGGCGGAAGCCACAGCATAAAGGGTTCTGGACACACCCCCACACCGCAACGGCCCTGGGGCACCCCTCTCCTGCGCCCTGTGCTTTGGGACTTGCCCCTACGGGCCGGCCTCACCTTCTCTCTGGGAGGCCCTTGGCTTAGACTTAGCTGCTGGGGCCCGAACAGACCTGTACCCACTACCTTCTCCTGCCTCCAGGCCTCTGGAGGCCGCTCCCCCTGTGGGGTACCTGCCCCTCACCGGCCTCTCCCCTGTGGGGTGCCCACCCCCCAGCTCCCATCAGGGGTAGCCCTCCATACCCCTGTGGACCCGTCCCACAGCACGGGCATCAGGGGCTTTGGGGTCCCTGCGGGGCTCACTCTTGCTGCAGGGGGAGCTGGAGGGGAGCACAGCTGTCTGCCTGTGGAGCCTGGGCGGGTCCAGGGTAAGGAAGGGGCGGTGCTGGGGGGGAGGGTGGGCGGACAGGACTTGTAGGCACCGGCCACTCACCTGCTCTCTAGATGCCGGGAGGGACAGCATCTCCTCGAGGGAGTCCCCAGGCTGGAACTGCATGATGTCCACCAGCATCTGCTTGGTGCTACAGCGGGGGAGGGGAGCGGGGGACGGGCTGGACGGGGGGCTGGCCAGGGGCTCAGGGTGAGTGGGCCCTGCCTTGTGTCATGCCTGCCAGGGACCTTGGGAGGTCAGATCAAGCGAAGAGGGAGACCCCAAGTGGGCTGCGGGCCTGAGTACAGGACCTCCGTGTGCACACACCGCGCCACCTCACTGCTGCCTGTGTGCACACACCGCGCCGCCTCACCCCTGCCCCCGTGTGCGCACACACCGCGCCGCCTCACCCCTGCCCCTGTGTGCGCACACCGCGCCGCCTCACCCCTGGCCCCATGCACCTACACTGCGCGCTTCACCCCTGGGCCCCTGCTGACAGTGCCCTCCCACAAATTGTTGTCCTGAGTCCTTGGGCTGAAGGAGCCGCCTCCTCCTCCGGGAGACCTTCCCCAGCTCAGGTGTCCCTTCTGCTGAGCTCTCAGGGCGCCTGACAGCCACCTCCCTCTCGGTGGCTCTGGCTGCGTCTCAGGCCTGGCCCCACCCGGCTGGAAGCGCGATGGCAGGACAAAGCCAAGCGCCACGCTCGCCGGTTCACTGGGTAAGCGGGTGCGGGGGGGCCGCCCTGACTTGGCTCCTCCTCTGCCTAGATGGCCAGCCAGCCCAGCCGGGCGCTCCGTCGCCTTCACAGGACCGGGGACGGAGAGCTCCCGACCGTCTCCCCCGGCAGGACACCTACCCCGGGTGCCTCTCCACCCAGGCGGGAAAACCATCCCTGACCCCACGGTCGTCCCTCGGCCTTCGGCTCAGCACCGAGCAGAGGCCCGGGCGGACAGCGGAGGCCCGGCGAGGGCAGCGCCTCAGGGGGACCCGCCCAAAGGACAGGGGCCCAGGCAGACGGTGGAATGGCCTCCTCCCTGGTCCGAGCAGGGCCGGGGCTGCGGGCCGCCCTCACCCACCTCAGAAGCAGGCTGCGGGCACTGGCGTCGCCGGAGTCCGTCTCCAGCCCTTCGAACTTGTTGGTGAGCGTCAGGGACACCTCCAGCTTGCTCATGTCCAGGCTCCCATCCGCGGCCGCGCCCTCCCCTGAGGTGCAGACAGCCACGCTACAGGCCCCCCCCGGGCACCTCTGTGCCACGGGAGGCGGGTCCACCGGGGGCAGCACCCACAGGACGGCTGTCGTCCACAGAGCTCAGCCTCCCGGTCCCTGCGGACGAGCCTCTGACCGACACCCTCGCCTGGATGCCTGGGGCTTCTGCCTCTCAGTCTGTCACCACCCCCACCCTGACCTTCCCCCTGTAGGACTACGTCCTGTCACCCCGTGGCCCCCGCAGTCCTTGTCAGAGAAACCCGTGGAGACTCCAGACAGACTCGCATCCATCCACGTCTCCCTCCCACGATTTGATTGGCCGTTTACACGATGACACCGGGTCCCTCTACTGTCTGTCCCTTTCTTCCTATCAGTCCACGTCCCTGTGTCCATCTTGCACCAGAGGGAAAGGGGAGGTGGCGTGCGGACTGGCTTCCTGGCACACGTGCATGGCCGTACAACTCGGGAGAGGGCCTGCGGCCTGCCCAGCTGCCCAGCCATCCCTCCCTGCCGGCCCCCTGGCCCCCGCACCGATGAGGTCACGGACGGTGGGCAGCTCCCCCAGGTCCTCCAGGAGCTCGTGCAGGGGGTCGCGGTGACTGGGGGCAAGCCGGTCCTGGTGCTCCAGCAACAGCTGCAGGTCGGGGGAGAGTGGACGGAGGTCCAAGCCCGCCCTCCCTCCGAGGGCCGCCCCCCCCCCCGCGACCCCCGGCCGTGCCCCTCACCCTGTGCGTGCTGACCAGCTCCCCCATGGTGATGTACACCACAGGCTTGGCCACGGCCACCATGTCCGAGTACTCGTCCATCACAAAGCGCTCTTCTGGCTCCGGCACCTGGCAGGCTCGGACCGCGAACCTCCTGTCCCCAGAGGCAGGGCGTGTGTGGCGGCAGCTCCCCCCCATTCTGTTCCCCCTGCAGGGCCCGCCCGGCCCCCCTCCCGGTGTCCCCTGTCGTCTCCACTGAGCAATGCTTCCAACAATCCACCCTCTGGCTCGCTCACCGCCGCTTCCCCGATGACCCGGCGGGGGGTGGGGGGGGGGCGTGACGGAGGGCGAGAGCAAGAGGAGGGCACAGGGGGGTCAGGGTGCCGGGACGGAGACCTGAACTTGAGGTGCGTCTCCTCCAAGTAGTCGTTCAAGACCCGCAGGTGGCGGCTCTCCCCGGAGAAGGCCTTGCCGGCCGCGGCGTGCTGCAGGACCTGGGCCACGGCCCCGAGCGCGTGGCGCTGGGGGGCGGCCAGGGCACCGCCCGCTGCCACGGCGACGACGTCGAAGGCATCGGGGGCCACTACCGCCGGGTTCAGGAAGCGGTAGTAGAGGAGGTTCCCTACCACCTGAGGGCAGAGGACACCGTCCCAGAGGCGTCCCGCGCGCCGGCCTGGTAGCCCCTGCCCCGCTCCCCAGCTGGCAGCCTGAGCAAGGTCACACGGCAAATCGGGGGCAGGAGCTGGGCCCGGAACCCAGGCCCCCTGACCGGTGCAGGGCTGCCCGGCCTGTTAGCTTGTGCCTTGGGCCGCAGCAGAGGCCCGGCCGGTGCGCCGGCGGGGGGAAGATTCCCCGCTTGGATCTTTAGACCATCGGGGTTTCCGTCCTCCGGTCTCAGTCAGGGACTCACCAGCAGGGCCATAGGGGAGCTGGGGAGGCGGGGAGGGGACACTCGCCTTGTAGACCTCGTTCTCTGGGGCGTCAGGGAACTTCTCCGCCAGGGTCGTCCTCAGGACCTTAGCTACATACCGCATCCCATACCTGCGGGCAAAGTGCACACGTGCTGAGGTCCTGCCCGTCTGCTGGAGCCCAAGGCACCGCCCCCCACTACCTGCCCCTGCACCCCCCAGCTCCCTGCCGCCCCCGCCCTGCATTCCTGTCAGTGCCCAGGACCAGGGCCCTGCTGCCCGCTAAGCTCGCACGAGGCCCTCTTCTTTGTCTCGCTCGTCTCCCCTGGAAGGCACCCCAGGTCCCGATATTCATCCCGCCTCCCCCCACGGATGCACCTCCACCATGGACCCAGGTGTGGGGCCCTCACAGCCAGAACCCTGTCCCAGGACCGCCCGGGAGGCTCTGGGGAGGCGGACCTCGTCTGCCATCACGGAGCACCCAGGAGGGGCTGGGCGGCAGGCAGGGCCCGGGGAGAGCACTGGAAGGGGGCTGACACCACCCTCCCCTGTGCCGACTCCTTCCCTGGTCTGGAACATGGAGACGGCCATCCCTGCCCGCCCTCTGTCTCAGGGCTTTTGTGAGGACCAGGTGAAATCATGTCTGTGGACGGGACGGTATTCGAACGTGCTAGATTTTATTACTACTAGTCCTACTACAGAGGCGCCACCTACTAATCTAACCCCTTTCCACCTCCTAGAGTGCCGGGGACAGCAGTGTACGGCTCACGTGGCCTGGCCCTCTTGAGGTCCTGTGCCCAGGCTGGGGAGGGGCTGGCACTTACGGAATCTGGTCCACAGAGGAGATGATGGCTGCGAGGAACTTGTCGGTCACGGCGAGGAGGCTGCGGAGGGAGATGTCCAGTCGTCTCTGGACCTCGGGGTGGCTCAAGGCCTGCTCTGGAGTGACGTCGTAGGGGAGGTGGCTGTGGCAGAGGGAGAGGAAGTATCAGCCAGAGCCCCTCCCATGGCCTCCCCTCCCCAAACTCCCACCCTTTGAACTCCATCTAACAACAGGATAGCGCAGGCATGCCCCCCCATGCACGCACACACACCCCCACACGTGCACGCACGCCCCCCACGCACGCATGCACACACACACACCCCCCCATGCACGCACACACAAGCATGCACAAAGTGCAGCCCAGTGCACTGGAGGGGACCGGGCCCAAATAAGAGAAAGGACTCAGAGGGAATGGAGCAAGGTGGTTGGAAGGTGAAGGACGAAGAGCTAAGGGCCCACGGGGTGGACGAGGAGGGAGTCCTCAGGGGAGCGGAGGCCACGGCCGTCCCTCAGCTAGTCGGGGCGATCAGGATGATGGCCTCGGCCATGCAGCCCCAACATATAGGCCCGAGCGCCACTGGAGAAGCCGCCAGCGCGAGCTGCTGCCTGGCGGCTCCCTTCCCAAGGACCCGGGCTCCCGAGCGGCACCCCAGCCTACAAAGCCAACCCAGTTCCCCCGCCACCTTGTCTACTCATCTGGAAATCTGGGTGCTCAGCTAGCCCCTATCAGTGAGGAGTCCATATCCCAACCCCCGGCAAATTGGGCAGATAATTCACGAGCAAGCACCAACACGGCAATTAAACACCTTTGCACGTTCATCAGCGTTCATTCTATGTTAGACACACACAGGCCCATGCCGTTTACACCGCTTCCATGTTAATTACCAGAGGGGGCGCTAAAAGCTACTTTGTTTCATCCTACAGGGTCGGAGTCACACTCAGACCGCTCACCTGCGCCAGCCTCTCACCTGCTCAGACCACTCACCTGTGTGGAGCACTCACCTTGGAGCACTCAGCTGCGCCGGCCCTTCACCTGCTCAGACCACTCACCTGTGCCGGCCCCTCACCTGCGTCAGCCCCTCACCTGCTCAGATCGCTCCCCTGCACCGGCCCCTCACCTGAGCAGACTGCTCACCTGCATGGAGCACTCACCTGCGCTGGCCGGTCTGGGCCTCGCTTTGGTTGATCCAGCTCTTGTAGAGGTGAACAGGGTCCGTGTGGACGCTCAGCGTCTTGTCCTCCAGCACGTCCTGGACGACCCTGCCCAGGATCTCGCGCAGGGCACTCTGGCCCCGCCCATTACGGTAGAACCTCACCACGAGCCCCACCACCGTAGGGTTGCCTGTCACCATGTCCTGGGGCTGCTCCACCTTTGACCTGTAGTTGAAGAGGTCACTGAGGCTGCCCTCCTGTCCCCGCGTAGGACAAAGAGCTGCTTCTCCTCTGTGGCCCTTCAAAGCCTGCTCTGCTATCGCGCCTCTGAAGGCCCGTCCTGAGCGCCTGTGCGCTAACTTGTCTGCCCACATCCTCCCTCCAAACTGTCCCCCAAGACTCTTACGGACGCTCCGTGTGAGGCTGAGAAGAGGTCTGTATTCCATCTCTACCCTCAAACCTCAATACCCCCTTGTGAAGGAGCCAACAGTGGCGTCCCTCCACCCGCCGCCTTCCCGCTCCTCTGTGCACGGAAAGCCCACCTGATCTCCTCCTGCAGCGCCGTCCTGAACAGCTGGAGGAGCAAGTAGGCCTCGCGGCGGTTGGAGGCATAGTTGTACAGGCTGAAGATCACAGACTCCATGAACTTGGTGGTTCTGTTCTGTGGCATGTGAGAGATCAGCTTGGCCAGGTAGAGAGGCTGAGTCTGCAGCAACGGGGGAGACAGGAAGCGGGTGATGTGCCTCGAGGGCCAGTGACGAAACAGAGGCGCTCCTGATGGCGACGTGGAGAGGAGCAGGCACCGGCCCACCTCCTGGGAGGTTCGAGGAACCTTCCAGACGAGCGGGAATGAGGGCAGTCTCTGGGGTCGTTAGGGTTAGGGAAGGGACAGGGAACACGGACAGGGAGGCCTCATCCCCGGACGCCTAGGGGGTGGTGGGCTCTGCTCGCCTGCAGCAGGTAGAAGAGGTGTTGGTAAGCTTCTAGCTTCTGCCTTTTCTCTTTGCTCAGCGCCTTTAATCCCTTCTGCTTGTCCAGGGCCATCATACCCGACAGCTGTTCCTTGTTCTTCCTGGTCAGCTTCTTGCAGTGGGAGATCACCTCCTGCAGGCACAGGGCAGGTGGCCACAGGGCCAGGCATATGGTCCAAACCAGCGCCTCAAGGACCAGGCACTTTCTGCGGCCCGCGGCGCTCCCGGCAGAAGCAGGGAGAGACACACAGACCTGGGTCCGCACCCCCCCCACCACGCCCCTGCCGCCTCTGCTTTCTCGGGGTGTGCCCCGCCCCCAGAGAGGACCGGGGACCGGCTTGGGTGTCAGATCTGTGGGGTGTCGCTCTGATCTCTCGTGAGGTCATCGCGCACTGGGGCTGGGGCTATCACTACCGCTTCTACCCGACACGGCACACTCATGTCATTTACCATGTGAGGGACTTTCCTGTCTGTCTACACTGGCCTGGTGAGGGGGGCACTCTGATTATCCCTGTCTCCCAAGCAGGAGACAGACTCAGAGACCCCACAGGCGGCCGGCGGCCCCTCACCTGCAGGGTGATCCGGTTCTTCACCAGCAGGCCGATCTTGAGGTCCATGAGGTCGAGGTCCTGCTGTAGCTGCTGATTGGACCGGATCTTCCTGACCACCTCTTCCTGGAGCTTCAGCAGCTCTGCCTCAGCCAGGAAGTCCTCCTGGCTTTGATTCAAGAGGTGGGCAAATCTGCACACCACGCTGAGAGGGGGGTGGGGTGCGTGCACTGGCGGGAAGGGGAGAGGCGTCAGGACCAGCCGAGCCCTCGCAGGAGCTTCCTCACCAGCTCCCCTGCCTCTGTCACCACCTCCTGGTCCCCAGCCTGCTGGAGGCCAGCGGGCTGCCTCCAGGCCCGTCCTGTCCCCAAGCCCCTCGTGTCTCACGGGCAGCTGTGACAGAGGAGCCATCCTTCCCCTGCCCCCCCACCCCTGGGCCCGTGCCAGGGCCTCTCACCCCCATCAGGCCCCCAGCTGCCTCCACGAACCCCCAACTCCAACTTGCTCCTCAAACTGGCTGGGGACCCAGGCTGAGAGGTGCAGGCAGCACCCCTAGGGCAGGACAGGCACAGAGGGGTAGAGGGGGCCCTGGGGCCCCGAACCCGAGGGCTGGAGGGAACTTGGAAATGGACCCCAGGTCTACTTAACAAAGAGCAGGGGCTCCAAGGCTGGGCTTCCAGACTTTCAGGGCAGGAGCCAAGAGTGGCCCAGAAGAACCCCCTGAAGCTTTCGGTGCGCGCCCCACTGAGGGGACAAGGGGCAGGATGACAGAGCACCCTTGGGTGCCGGCACTCAGTCCCAGCACTGCACGGCCCCAAGGCCGGAGCTGGGGGAGCCACGGGCCATGCGAGAGTGTGGGGAGCAGCCCCTTCCCTTGAGGACCTTGCTGGTGGCAACAGGAAGATAACCGAGCCCAGTATAGAAGATTGTGCTCAGGGGGCCCCCCGTGTGACCAGGCTGTGCCACCAGGCAGGTGGGAGCTTTTGCTACGACCCCTGTTGGACGCTCCTGCGCAGGCGTCTCCTACTTTCTCTCTCCCTGCTGTGCGGCCCCAGGAGGGACACCTGGATCTGCCTGACCCTGGGGGAGCTCCCGCCTCTACCACCAGACTGGGGGACCCCCAAAGGCAGAGCACATGTCCTCACTCCCACACGCACCCCGGGTCTTCAGCCATATGCTCAAGGTCGGGGACATTAGCTGTCAACGAGGGCTGGGGCTCAGGAAGGGCAGACAATGTCTCCAGGGCCCAGTCTGCCTGGCGGGGGTGGGGGGTGACTCTGTGCCCTGCTGACTCTCAGAAACCACGAGCTCGCACAGACGGGAGGACAGGCCGCGTACTCACAACAGAGTGGGGACCAGGCCGCGTACCTAACACCCTGTAGTCATCCCGGGCTTTCCGGGCTCGGAAAAACGCCTGGATCTTGACAACGGAGTTAACCTGCCGTGAAGACGAGTGGTAAAGGGCTGCTGGCCGCCCCTGCCCGGGCCTCAGGCGTGCAGGTTGGGCACAGGGACAGTGGGAGGACACTCACGTTCTTCTGGAAGTATCCCAGACGCCTCCGGTACTGCCTCCGAGCTGCCCACATCCGGACCCAGGCCTGGATCTGAAGACACGCACTGTGTCAGAGCCCCAGGCTCAGGGGTCGCCCCCAGGCCCGGGCCAGCCCAGCTGTCCCGAGGCCCCGAGGCGAGAGGACAAAACAGGTGTTCTCAGAGGGCCCTCGAGGACAGGAACCCACCCAAACCGTGACAGCTACCTTGATCACGGCATCCGAGTTCGCTTTTAGATACTGCAGCCGTTGCACGTAGGTCTTCCGCTGCCTGTAGCCCCGCCAGTGAGCCTGTGCGGCAGGACAGGAAAGGGGGCGACCTCGGCTGGTCCCCGCTGGCCTAAGAGGCTCTCCAGGGAGGGGGGAGGGAGGCAGGGAAGTGGAGGGGGAGGGGAAGCCGTCCACATGGGGAGACCCAACGTCTCCACCGTCCCTGGTCTCGGCACACACGTACGCACATGCACACTGCACACACACACATGCACGCATCCCCGGGGCACACGCACACATCCAGGCAGACCAGCACCCCCTCTCAGGAACTCTACTGTAAGACACAAGCTTAAAAGATAGCAATACCTCCTCACCAGAGCGTGTGCCATGTCCCCCAAACACACCCACATGCTCCACCAGCCCCATGCCCAGCCCGGAGAGGCACACAGGAACACGGACGGAAGGTGTGCGCAGAGGCAGAGCCGTGGGGGCCGCGGGCCACTGTGTACTCAACTCCCACCTTTCCTGGTGTGTAAAGTGGTCGGGCTGAGCCTCACCTTCCCTCTTGGCCTAGGCCCCAGTTACTTGGGGGCCCATCCCAGAGGCCGCACTGGACCCTCCGCAGGTGGGAAGGATACAACAGAAAGGACTGGAGAAAACAGGCAGAGCTCTTCCCCTTGGGCCTGATCCGCCCTTTCCCGTTTACCCTGAACCAGGGATGCCCCCCACTCATGCCTGCACCCCAATGGCTCACTAGATCTCACCCCTACCTCCCCACGGGGAGGCAACAAAGCAGCTTGTGCCCTGGGGACACTGATGGCGATGACAGTGACTAGCACCCACTCATGTCCTTGCCTGGAAGCCAGGAACTATTCAGATGCCTGTTGGACGTCACCTCACTTAACCCTCATGACAGTCCTGCATGGGGGGCGCTACAACATTTACATTTCTATTCTGTGGGTCCAGAGTAAGTACCTGTCGAGGTCACTCAGCTATTAGGTGGTGGAGCTGGGAGCTGAACCCAGGCAGTCCAGGCGCTAGAACACACGCTTAACCTCTACTGCTCTAGAATACACGCTCTTAACCCCTACAACCCCCGCTGCTCCAGAACGCATGCTCACTCACAACCCTCACGGGTCCGGAACGCGTGCCCACAGGCTCATAACCCCTACTGCTCTGGAACACATGCTCTCAACCCTCCTGCTCAGACGCCAGAAGACTGTCCCCCTTCCACTCAGCACAAGGGAGGCAGGAAGGAAACCCCGAAGCCCAGGTGAGCCCAGGCCGGACTCCCAAGGCCAGCGGCCGCCACCTGGATCTTGATGATGGCCGGCAGCCAGGTCCTCAGGTAGTGGGAGCGCTCAGCGAACTTCTGCCGCACCAGGAACCCACGCATGCGGGCCTGGAGCTGGATGACAAAGCCGACGCTGGCCTTCCAGAGCTGCTGGCGGTCATAGGCGGCCGTGACCTTGGTGACAGCGGACTGCAGGGGAAGAGGAAAGCCTGTGGTACCCTGGTAGGCAGAGGCTCGGCTCCGGGGAGCCCCGGCCCGGCCCCTCCCGCTCAGGGGCTCTGCCAACCTGGATCTCTTCCCGCGTCAGGTGGGATGTGTTCAGGCGGCAGCCCACGGGCCACTCCCATGTCCCCTGGAAGGTGTGCAGGTGGAAGTAGTAGGCGGAGCCGTCCTTCATGTCGTGTTGCACCCAGAAGGCTGCGTCCCCTGCGCGGAAGACAGGTAAGGGGGAAGGCCCGGAGCAGGTGGCAGGTGGCTGGGGCAGGGGAGGGCGGGGCTGGGGCCACTACCTGGGCGGCACTTCCTTGCCGTGGCTCCTTCCAGGACTCGCTGGTAGCTGTCGGCGCAGTTGGGAACCACCCCTCGGAGGCCCACGGAGGGGTTCCTTAACACCCGCTCTGTCTGGGCCGCCCTGCCCTCCTTGATGGCCTGGTTGATGGCGGCCACACCGAGAGCCACTGACAGGAGCATCAGGAGGCAGTGGTTGGTCGTTACCCGTCCCCAGGTCCCTCCCCAGGTCCCTCCCACCCCCGTCCTGTCTATGGAGGGAGGTTCACAGGACACCAGAGCCCCATCTAAAGGAAGGGCAGGGAGCCTCCCAGCACGGACGCAGAACGGATGAGAGCAGCAGCATGCAGCTGTGCCCACAGGGAAAGGAAGCCGTCAAAGAAGGCTTCCTGGAGGGGGCAGCACGGGGCTGGTGGGGGCGGGGTAAGAAGACAGTTCAAGTCTCTCTCCTAGGGAAGCTCAAAGGCAGGATGCGGGCAGAGAACTCAGGGCAGTTTCTTAGGGAGAAAATAAAGTCCAAGAAGTGCAGCACCCGCCTTCCCGTCACGCAGACAGACAGAGGGACTCCAGACAGCACGGACCGACAGCACCAGCATGCACCAGAATGCAGGTGTGCGCACTGACCCCCACCACCCACGCCCAAACACACCGTAGCCCCGGCGGGGAGTATGGGATGCATCTTCAGCCCCCATCTGACTTCACCCACTCGGGCTTCGGGTCAAGTACCCGCAGGCAGGCGTGGATGGAGGCACGGGTGGACTGTGGGCCCTCAGCCCGCCCCCTAGTCCAACCAGCAAGGCCCTGCTGTGCTCCGGCCCACCTCCCCGCAGGGTGGGTGAGTGGGGAGCCGGGACCCCCTCCCCTCCCCCAGCCTGCCCCCCATGGGCCTCCCGCGGGGCCCCTGAGCCCACGCACTACGCTGCGCAGCATCTGTGTCCTGGTTGGCTCGAGCCACCTCTTGGCGGATCTCTTCCAGCCACAGCACCGCTCCGGGGTCCCCGGTTGCCTGGGAAGTCGAGGGGGACAGGAGGGATGAGGGTCCGGGCCAGGCGCCCCAGGCCCCAGGCTCCGCGGTGTGAGGGCCCAAGTGCGGGCGGGCGGCTGGCAGGAGCCCCAGGGACAGCAGGGCCTGCCTCCTCCACCCACCGCCTGCAGGCACAGCCTCCCCTGTCCCCGCCACACTGTGTCACCCCACCACACCACTGTCACCCCACCTCACTGCTGTCACACCACACCACTGTCACCCCGCCACACTGCTGTCACCCCACACCACTGTCACCCCACCTCACTGCTGTCACACACCACTGTCACCCCACCACACCACTGTCACCCTGTCACCCCACCACACTGCTGTCACCCCACACCACTGTCACCCTGCCTCACAGCTATCACCCTGCCACACTGCTGTCACCTCACCACACTGCTGTCACCTTGCCACACCACTGTCACCCCACCTCACTGTCACCCCACCTCATAGCTGTCATCCAGCCACACCACTGTCACCCTGTCACCCCACACCACTGTCACCCTGCCTCACAGCTATCACCCTGCCACACTGCTGTCACCTCACCACACTGCTGTCACCTTGCCACACCACTGTCACCCCACCTCAAAACTGTCACCCGGCCACAACACTGTCATTCGGCCACACCCCAGTCACCCCGCCTCATTGAAACCCCCTACTTGGAGACACATCCGCCGTCACGGCGCATGTGCAGGTGAGGAAACGGCACGACATGTGCAGGGGTGGCCCGCTGTCTGGTCCGGCAGATCTGGCCCCCTGCCCCCAGCGCCACCAGGGGCTCGGGCCACTAAGGCTCTAGACCCCAGCATGCTCTCCAACCTGTGTGATCTCCCCTGTTCCAGAAGGCATGCAGGACCAGCGCGTGCGGTATGTCACGGACGCATGAGCAGAGCTCAGAGACCCAGGACCCACCGGAGGTCACGTGGGCACTAAGTGTCAGAGCAGGAAGTCAGCTCCCAGGCCCGCGCTCTTCCCACACACAAGCCCCACTGTCCCCCGCCGGCTGGCATCGGAGCTCAGTCCAGTGCCCTGGTCCCCCATGGTCCCTCCTGCCCGCCACCCCACCAGGGGACTGCCAACAGACCGGGCACGCCCAAGGTGCACCCTGGGCGCAGCTCTGCCCACAGGGGATGCTCTTCCTGCCCCGGGGACCGACGCGGACCTCACCTGGGCCTTCTGCCTTTTGGCCGCCACCAGGAGGAGATGGTACCGAGGCGCCACGGGAAGGCTGACGTCATCCAGGCCGGCCGAGGGGAGCAGGAGGGCCGACAGGGTCTTCTCGGGGCTGCCCCGGTCCAGGGCCTCGTTGATAAGACTGACCGCCAGCACCTCTGGGAACCACAGAGGCCGGTGCATAGATGGCCTACGCTAAGGGATGGGCGGCCCCCACGCCCCCCGAACCCCACTCACGGTCGGCTTCTTCCTGCACTTGGGTGTTGACCTGGTTCACGGCGGCCTGCAGGTCATTCCAGCTCAAGATGCCGCCTGGCGCGCGCTCCCGCCACAGAGTCACCAATGCATCAAAGTAACTGGAGGTAGGGCGGGGGGTGAGCAGCAGGGGAGAGGGAAGGGGGTGAGCAGCAGGCCCAGCGCCAGCAGGAAGTCAGCGGGCTGGCCGTGCTCTCCCCTCTCTTCTCCCAAAGCCCCTGTGCGGGCGCCCCCCTGACCCCCGCGTGGCCCAGCCTCCCACTGCTCGGGCTCCGGACTCCTATCCTGGCCTCACCGCCCGGGACATCCACACCATAAGGTCTCCCCAAATGACATCCGTTGCCCACGTGTGAGTGCCAGCTGCCTCCTCAGTCGTTCCCACAAGTGCCGGATGGGGTCCCACACCTGCTGCTCACGCCTGAGCTCCGGACCCCCATCCGGCCAGTGTTCCCCAGTCCTTCCCACTCCAGTCAACACTCATTCCAACCCAAAGGGAGGAGACCTTGGAGCCACAGCCGACCTCTCTCTCTCACAGCCACAGCCACACACACCCAAGTCCCGTGGGAACAGACCCAGAACCAGACCCCCTTCACCACCATCCACGTCCGCTGCCCTTGGCCACGCCTCCCTCACGCCTGGCCTGGAGGCTGCCCGGCTGTCCTGTCCAGCCCTGGAGCCCATCCCCAGTGCGGCAGCCGCGGAGAGCCCGGCAAAAGGTCAGATCGCCCCCTCCTCACTGAAACCCTCCCGTGGCCTCCTTCCCAAGGCTACGGCGTGGCCTCTGGGGCTTCCTGGCCACCACTCTGCCCAGCCATGCTGGCTTCCTGGTGCTCCCCGCACACACCGAGCATGTGTCCCATTCTGGGCCTGTGCCCCACACAGCTCCCCACAATCACAGAGGCCCTGAGGTCTCTCTCAACGCCCCCTCACTGACAGGGCCTTCCCTAAGCCCCCGCTTGTCACCAGCCTTGACCCCTTCCGGTTTTGCCACAGCTCTTCCTTCCAGTCACCCAGCACGTTGGCTTTGCCCTTCCCCTCCACGAGCATGTCAGCTGGATGAGACCAGGAACTTGGCCTTGTTCACGGCTACTTCCCATCACCAGGGACGGTATTCCCACCTCCGTATGAAAGCTCGGGGAATGGAGGAAGGGGGGATGCCCGAGCCCCACTCCCGGGAAGAGTCATGGCCAAGGGGCTGTGAACAGACCCAGGGGGCCTGGCCTAGGAGCGGGGACCCGCACAAAGGCAGGGCTCCAAGCAGAGCACCGAGTCCTGGCTCCACCCCCTCCCACGCACACCCGCTAATAAACCTTCTCACCGCTGAGCATTCTCTCCTTGCACCTCGGCCAGGCCTGTCGCAGGACTCGCCAGACTGCTCCAGAAGCCGCCAACATCCCCAGCCTCCAGGGCCCGGTCAATCAGGACCACGGCTGACAGCATCTCCACAGCCACAAAGAGCTCCTCGTGGCTGAGCTCCTACAACAGGAAGCACCGACTCCATGGGCTGGTGAAGGGCTTGGGGCCATGGCCGTCCTGTCCCCAGGCTCCCCCACAGCCGTCTGTACCCCAAGCCCCAACTCGTTCACCTGACACTGAGTGTGCTCAGTGCTCCACACACACTCTCACTCGATTCTCACACAAACCAGCCGAGGAGGTGCCATCCATGCCCCCGCTTCACACAAGGTGTGAGTTACGCTGAGCTGCCTGGCTCCAGAGCCCACACTCAACCGGTGAGCCGCACCGGCTCCTTTCTGGTTCCTGGCACATGCCAGGAAGGGCCAAGGCCCCGGGGGACAGAGAGAGGGACACAGCGTCCCTCCACACTGTGCCCCCCCTGTCCTGGCCCAGCTCTCTCCTCTCTCCTCCCTTTCAAACACAAGCATGTGCTGCTGCCCCGTCGGGGGCACCTCCCTGTCCCGCACAGACGGAGCACTGCAGGCTCACAGCGCCGAGCGCACGCCGAGCCCACTTCCAAGCGCACACGGGGACACGTGAAGCCCTCACAACAATTCTTGGGGTGATGTTACTGCTCCTGTTTCACATACGACCTGAGGGACAGACAAGTAACTAACTGGCTCGAAGTCACGCAGCGAGGACGCGGCGGGGCCAGAAGCTGACTCCTGGGTCACCGTGTGTCACCTCCCGGGACTCATCTTCTCTGCTTTGTACTAGAGTCGCCAGTGTGGAGGCTGTGCCCTTCCTGAGGGCCATGCTCTAAAATTCCCTGCTGTGGGTGGCTCTCCACAGGTCTCTCCTCCAGGAAGCCTTCCCAGACTTACCCCCAGCACTGCTCCCTCTATTTCCTGATCTGAAGTCCTCTGCCCCTGACGCCAGCCGCTCCTCCCTCCCTGTGACTGTGTGGGCCCTCAGGTGTGTTCCGGCTCCTGCAGGGATGGGCCTTCCCTGCAGGAGGGCCCTGTCACCTCCATGTCGTGGGAGCTGTCTGGACAGGGGTGAGGGGGCACCCGGAGCAGTGACAGGCACAGACTATGGCTGCGTCCGCCTCTGTGCCTCAGTTTCCTCATCTCTAGATGGAACTCTTACTCACCCGCCAGGGTGAGTCTGGCAAGGATCAATGGGCATGCAGAGCAGCGCTGGCTCAGGAGTGCCGCCCCTTCTGCGGGCGCTCCGCATGGACCTCCCCGGCCCCCCACTGCCTGGGGAGTGGGGCGGGACCCTCATTTCTGGGGCTCACCCCTCCCTGCTGCTGCTGGAGCACGGCCAGCTCGCGCTGGTACACAGCCGGGGCGCGGGGGCACACGGGAGGCAGCCGGGCTTCGGGGCACATCAGCTCCGCCACCGTGTCAGCGGCCACTCCCCTCCGGATGGCTCCGTTGACTCTGCGCACGGCCCGGAGCACTGCCGGGGAGGAGGAAGAAGGCTGCAGGGGCTGGCAGGCCGCGGCCGGTCCTGGCCTCCTGGCGAGCTGGCTTCTGCCGGGGCGTCGGAGGGGAAACCGTCCTGCCTTCTGCCAGGCCCAAAATGAGCTTCTACGTGTTTATGAGGAAGGGGTGCTGAGCCGTTTTACTGGAAGAGGCGGGAGGTGCAGCGGCGTGGCCGGGGACAGAGCGGCCGCCGCGGCAGAGGGGAGGCCCGGGGGCGGCGGACACGAGACAGGCAGGAGGCTGCAGGGCGCAGCTGAGAGGTCAGTCACGGAGCGCTGGGGGCCAGGTTTTGCCCACAGCACAGATAAGTGGGGCCACTGGGGCCACGAAGGGCAGGGGCGAGTTCGAGGGGCCACGGAGCCGTGGCTTCTGATCTCAAACGCCAGGGCCTGTGAGGCGCCAAGCAGATCTGGGCCCTGGTACCCAGGCGGATCTGCAGGGGAGAAATGAGGGTTCAAAGACGCCGGCCTCTCCGTGTCAGCGGTGCGTCCCTTCCCCCAGAGCTCTGGCGGCCGGGGTGGGGGGAGGGCTCCTGGTGGGAGACGGGGGGAAAGTACTCGAGGAGAGCAGCGCGGAGGACCGCGGGAGGCCGGGAAGGGCGGCGGGGCCGCGTGCAGCAAGAGGAGGGGGAGCCGGGCCTCATCCGCTCGCCGAGCAGATGGGACTGGAGGCCAGGCCGAGTCACGGAAGAGGCCAGGGAGGCCTGGAGACACTGGGCAGAGTGAGGGTCACACCCGTGCGCCGCGGCAGCAGGTCAGGATGGAGTCACACGGCCGGGACAGGGCTGGGGGCCCCCGGCTATGCACAGGCCCCCCACTCTCTTCACTTCACTCCTGCCACACGCTCCCAGGAGGGACGCGATCACCAGGCCACACTCTTCTAACAGAAAACTGTATTTGCGCCCAATGATATGTTTTTGAGTTGGCCTCACACCCAGCATGGAGCCTAATGCGGGGCTTGAACTCACGACCCTGAGATCAAGACCTGAGCTGAGACCAGGAGCTGGCCGCTTAGCTGACTGCACCGCCCAGGCGCCCCTGTACACGATGTTTTTTAATGTCTTATTTATTTCTGAGAGAGAGAGAGACAGCGTGAGCAGGGGAGGGGCAGAGAGAGAGGGAGACACAAAATCCGAAGCAGCTCCAGGCTCTGAGCTGTCAGCACAGAGCCTGATGCAGGGCTCGAACCTACGGACCCTGAGATCATGACCTGAGCTGAAGTCGGACGCTTAGCCGACTAAGCCGCCCGGCGCCCTGTGCGCAATGTTTTTAAGGGAAAGTGAGTTGGATCGTGAGCTACTTTCTCACTACATCTGACAAGGACTCAAGCAGGTGGAAAGCGTCCGCATACAGGCGAGTGGACTGAAGGGAGGGGTCTGCCCCCGGAGCTGGCCCGGTGCAGGACTGACCGCCGTCACCCCTAAGGCCTAAAGGAAGCCGTGTGCAGGCAGCCTGCGCCTGGGCACACCGGGGAGAGGTCCCACTGGAAACGCGGACAGCAGTTCGCATCGCCCTGTGCACTCCTACACAGAAGCCAGCCGAGGGTCAGAGGCGGCAGCGATGGGCCCCGGCCGGGCCTCATAAAAAAGGGACTTACTGGCTTGTTCCTGACAACCCTTCGTGTTGGCTGCAGCCACACCAGCTCGGACCTCCTCCTTTTCCAGAAGATCCACCAGGCCCAACTCCTGGGGAGGGGAAGAGGTGACGAAGGAGAGGGCCCTGGGCCGCGGACGCCCCCATCACCCTGCCTCCAGCCCCGGCTCCTCGTCACCCAGCAGGCACTGAACTAACAACACAGGCAACACAGAGCGCGGTGGGGGACGGGCAGCGGCGGTGAGGACGAGACCACTATGCTGAGGCCCCAATTCCGCAGCAGGGGAGGGAGCCCCTCACTGCTCGTCGGCTGCCCCCAGGGACCCCCGGTCAGTCTGGGCCATTAGGCTTTGGGGTGACGTAACCGTTTCCACACGCAGTCAGCACTTACAGGAGAGGACAGCGGTGATGCCTAAGTAAGAGGCCGTCCCCCATCCCACGGCAGAGAGCGGGGGGCAGGTAACGGAGCCTGACCTGTGCCTTCTGCTCCCTGTCTGAGCTCAGCTGTTCCAAGTACCAGTCAGCAAAGTCTCTCCTCACTCCGTGCAGGGCCAGGGCAGGGTCTTGGAGGGCCTCGAGCAAGGCCTCAGGGCTCTGTCTTTCCAGGGCGTCATCAACAACTTCTAGAGCCCCCTGGACTGCAAGAGACCCAGACCCCGCAATGGACAAGGTGAAGAGCCCAGCCCGCACCACCGCAGCCCTGCCCTGCTCCTCCTGCCCAGAGTTACCCTCACCCTGCCCCAGCCCCAGCCCTTCCCTCCTCCCCACCCCAGACCCAGAGGCCATCCTGGCCCATACAGGCAGGTGGCTACTCCACCCTGGGCCTTCAAACAGCCCCCCCTGCCCTCCATGTCCACACCCACCCCCTCCATTCCTCACAGCTCCTTCTCCAAGGACCCCGGCCCAGCTGCCCCTCTACACCAAGAGCTGGAAGGCCTGGCCTTTGCCTCTGCCCTGTGCATGGATCTCCATTCAAACAGAAACCCCCTGGATGGGGCTACTTCTCTGGACGCCGACAGCCGTAAAGCAGCGCACACACTGGCCACAGGGCCTCTGGCCTGAGAGCCACCCCTGAACCCCCCGATGCAGGGGCTTGCCCTGGGAGCACCCCAAAGCCCTCCTGGCCCACCTCTCTTACCATTGACGTGGTTGATATTGCCCTGGATTTCAGCCTGCGTCAGGTAGCGGTCGTACATGTCGCAGCTTTCTCCATCCTGCAAAGGCCACGCCGAGAGGGAGCCCTGGGAAGCTGGCTCGGTCCTCCCCTACTCCCCTCTCCCTGTCTCTAGCTCTTTCCTCGCCTGGGGGCCTTCCCAGGCCAAAGGTCGGTCTGGTCAGAAGGAATCTGGAGAACCCCTGGGTCTGAGCCCTTGGCATGGACACGGTTAAGTCAAATCTCCTGTCCAGTCTCAGCCGGATCTACGTCCGCACCCCAGCCCGGCCAGATCCAGTCCCCAGGACCCATCTCCCGCCTTCTCTCCTGAATCCTCATCCCCGGGTGTCTCCTCCGCTTCTCTGCAATGACTGACAAGCGTTTCTCTCAGCAACTGTGGGTGTGGAGACAGGACGGGCAGGGGCCCTGTCTGCCGGAGGCCTTCGGGGCCACCCCGCCCTCCACGCCTGCACAGCAAGCTCCTTCTTACTCGCGTCTGGGCGCTGGCAGCCTTCTCCGCCTTGGCCTGGGCCAGCAGCTCCTGGTAGATGGCTGCCAGAGGCTCTCGAAGATTCTCCAGCAGAGCACTGGGATTCTGCAAGGCAGCCAGGGTGTCCTCGACCACCCCTCGCTCCACTGCCTCGTTGATGGCGAGGACGGCTGCATGTACTGGGAGCAGCATGGAGACAAGGTCAGGAGCCCAGAACAAACCCCTGGCCACTCCGACCTCATTCCCTTTTTCCACCCAGAGTGCCAGGCAAACCAGGTCACCTTACAGATGAGGGGTAGCCAGAACCCATCTGAGGCCCAGGGGCCGCCCTTTCACCTGCACCCACCCCCCGGCAGGGCAGAGCCACGCCCCTACCTGCAGCCTCATCCACCGACAGCTCGTGGGCCAGGATGCCCCCGATCTTGCTGAAGGCAGGCAGCTGGAGGCCGTACTTGGCCAGCTCAGAGGCCATGTTGCTGAGCTCCTCGGCTGCAAGGACAGCGCGGGTGCCTTTCCTCAGGGCCGGAGCCCCCAGGACCCTGCCCACCCGCACGGCTGGGGAAGGAGCTGGGCTCACCTGAGAACTTCACCTTCCCATAGAGATCATGGATCTGCGGGGCCAGTCCCAGCCGGAAGAGGAAGAGGCTGCAGAAGAGTGGAAGGCACAGGGGCCTATTTATTTAGACACAGTCTGCAGGAGACGCCATAGGGACCTGGACAGAGAGCCCACCCCACCTGCTCCCGAGTCCCCCCAGCCCAAGGGGAGCAACACCATCGGAAGTCAGCCCGAGGCAAGTGCTACAGAAGAGGCCGGGGGGGTCGGGGGGGGGGACATTGGGGCTTCACAGAGAAGGGCACACTGCAGTCACCAGATGGAGAGAGAGGGCAGGGCGAGCAGAGACCCGCGGAGCTGGGCGGGCAGGCTCGGAAGGACATGGGAAGTGAAGTCAGGAAGAGGCCACACGGCAGACACAGGATCAGGTCGGTCCCTCTAAGATCGAGCCATCGGATGCTGAGAACCAAACAGCCTGCACCGTTCCCACTGGGCGACTTGCATGTGATGCCGTGATGGGTGCTGTGTTGGATCCTCAGGGCCCCGGGCGCGAGCCGAAGACCCTTCTCTCCTGCCCATTTCCTTCACGCCCAGAGGTCACATGCAAACGTGCCATAAATCCAAGCACAGCGGCAAACGTCCTCAAGTCTCACTCTCCTGAGACGCGCCCCTCGTGGTCTGCCCACCATCCCCCCCCCGCCCCAACCCTGCATCTGCTGCTCCAGGATGAGCCTGGGTTTCTCACCTGAGGGCGTGGATGCAATAGACCACCCGGGGCATGTTCTTCTTGTCGTAGACATCCGTGGTCTCCGGGAAGAAGGTCTGGAGGGGAACAGCTGGTCACTGCCGCCGGAAACGTGAGGCAGCACCAGCTACAGACAGAGGGGCTGAGGGATGCGTCTTCCTCTCTGACCCGGGGTGGGGGGGCGGTGAGGGGGCAGGAGGGGGGGCTCCTTTGTTGCCTGGGGCTCCGAGGTCAGTCTCCCCAACACCGACAGCCAGCACGTGGCCACACATACCAGGTGTTAAAGAGAGGGCGCCAAGGCCCACCCCCAGACGCACGTCGCCAGGTTCACGGCCGAGACCATGGAGGCCAGAGGCCGCAGGCCGTGTCCTCCAGGAGGAAGAGGACCCTCTGCGTCCTACGCACACAGCGAGCCCGTGCCCCACGCCAGGCGGACGGCATGCCGGGAGGTGGCTGTGCTCCCTCAGAAGGCCCAACACTCTGTCCCGCACCACTGGGGGGGCAGGGCATTCATCCCTGTCTCTAAGCCAAAGGCCGCGGATCAGTGGGGGCCCCTCGAAGAACTGAGTCCTCCAAGGCACGGCGCCCCATGCCACCTGGCGACTCCAGTGAGGTCTAACTTCAAAACCTCTTGGTTACTTCAGATTCACAGGAAAGACCGAGTCTGAAGACTTAGCAGCATCCCAGCCTCACTGAGGACAGACGGCCTCTCACTCCTGCCTCCCACCAAAGTCCCTTTGCTGCCGCTTCCCTGTCTTACGGTCCCCTGTGCAGAGCCCTATCGTGCCTTAACTTGTACAGGTCTTCACGATTCATAAAGGGAATTCACGCAGATCGCCCGGTCCTCCTGACAGCCTCACAGGTACACAGGGAAAGGACCGCCGCCCCATCTTACAGTCAAGAAACACATTAGGATCCAAAGAGCCAGAGGCCACGCAGTGTGTGTCCAGCAGGGTCCTGGGCCCGGGCTTCTGAGTCCACCACCCAGGGATGTGGCCTGTGACATGGCCCTGCTTCGTGCCACGAAATTCTGATGGAAGGTGGGCTGATAGAAGGCCCACCTCCTGCATTACGCAGGGGCCTCGCTCACTGATGGGGACGGTGCGGCTTGGGTCGGGGAGCCTCCACCTCCCTCCACTTCCCTCCCCCATAGGAAGAAGAGGCAGAGATCAAGTGATGTGGCTCAAAGGCAGACACCTGCCAAGCGATTTAAACCCTCAGATTAGGTTAGTCTAGGGGACACACGAAGATGGGGGCTGATGGGTCCAGGGAGACAAAGAGAGCACGGCAGGGGTGGGGGGCCGGTGAGGAGTGAGATGAGCCCCAGCCTCGAGGCCCAGCGTTACCGAAGGCAGGCCGATGTGGGCTATTGCCGACAGCCAAAAGTTGATGTTGTCTGTGTGGCGGAAATGTAAGCCAGTTGCCTGAAAGGGAAGGAAAGAGAAGGAAGCTATTTCTACGGTTCTCAGAGCTCCCCGTGGCCGGAGCCTAGACCACAGTTTGGAGATCTGAAGGGGGTGGGGAGCCAGGGGACCCTGGGGGTTTCCCGGACCCCGTCCCCCCACCCTCCAGGACACAGAGCCACAGACGGAAGCCACCAGGAAAGGATGACCCCACAGGACATCTGGGAAGGACGGCACAGATGGGGGATCAATAACCCAGTAAGGCTTCCTAGTAAAGGGGAGTCCAGGGGTGAGGCGGGAGGGAGACAGGGCCGGCCAGAGCAGCGAGGGGGCGGCGTGCCCAGGAAGTAACTTCAGGGCAGCAAAGCCCACAGGCCTCGGAGTGTAGACTCAGGTAGACAAGTTTGCTCAGAAGCCTCAGGCAGGGGCACCTCGGGGCCCATCTCACCAGAGCCCCTTGTCGCCGAAGAGAAGGGGAGGCTGAGAGGAAGCAGGTAGAAGGCAGAGCCCGCCCTCCGCACCTGGTACCGCAGCTGCTCCACGTCATAGATCTTCTTCAAGGGAACTACGGCGGGTGCAAAGCAGTGGCCCAGCTTGGCCAGCAGCACCCCGTTCCGAAGGCTCTCCTCCAGCTCCACCGGGGGAGGAAGCACCTCCTTCAGGCAGGCCTCCATCCAGCTGAAAGCACCAGAGGACAGTGCCTGTCACCGGCCGTGGCCTGGCCCCCGCCCCTCCCCCAGCTCCCCTCTCTGCCCTCCGTCTGGCTGCTCCCAAGCTGCCCCCACACTGGAATGGCTGGTCCTCAGCCCCCCAACCCCGCACCTGCTCCCTGACAGATCCTGATCCCGCGCGTCCCCAGTGTGGCTCTAACAGGCCACGGCCTCCCACTGGGTCTGGTCACGCGTGCCTGCTGGCCGCGCTGCACGTGCTCTCTTGTCAGGTTGCGTGTTTTCGGAGCACCCGGGTACTGAAGGGTCCTGTCCGCCCCGGTGACCTACACAGCTCATAACCCAGCTTGGAGGTGGATGAGGGGAGTGGGGACCCCCGGGGCTGATAGGAGGGAGCAGCACAAAGAGACAGGAAGGCCGCACCCTAGGGATCAGAAGTCCTGCTTTTCCACGCCATCCCCCCTCCACCCTCGGGGCCTCACTCGCCTAACTCGCAAAGTGAGGAGAACACGGCCTGTCCCCCCTCTGCCTGGGCAGCGCGTGAGCTAACGGGTGTGAAGGTGCTGGGGACAGGAACGCTCAGCATTATGGTCACTGCTGGCCGCACAGGGCCCCGGGGGAGAGCGTGAGCGCTCTGCACGCGGGCTGTCCGCGCTTCTCCCTGTACCGAGGTCTCTGGGAAAGCGTGTTTCCAGGGAGAGCCTGTCCCACTTCCCTCCGTGCCTTCCCGGCCACAGACGCCGATTTCCTGTCCACTCATGCTATCTGTTTTCCTGGAGAAGATTAAAAATAGACTATGGATTAAAAGGAGAGAATTAAGAACTCTCTGCTGTCTTTGGAGCCCGCGTCCGTCCACAGGAAACGGGGCAGAGAGGAACAAGGTGGCACCAGGAAGCAAACAAATCCGGGAGGGGGACGTTCTACAGGCCAAACGGGCCGCTTCTTCCCCAAGTCCGTGACACACAGTGTGGCAAAGGGGAGGCGGGTTATTCTGGATTAAAGAAGAGTCAAAAGACACAAAAACCGAATGTACTATGTGAGCTTTTTCAGATCCTTATTTGAACAAGCCAACTGAAAAGCACGTTATTCTTTCAGACAATCGGGAAAATTTGAACGAGGCCTGGGAACGGGCCTCCCCAGGAGTGAGGGGCAGCTGCTTTGGGTGTTATAATGACACCGCGTTAGTACGTAAGCAAATGTCCACATATTTTAGAGACCAGCAAGGACGCATGTGGGGTAAAAGGACATGGTGTCATCTTTGTTCAAGAAGGCGTGACCATCTCCGTGGAAAACCTGAAAGGAGGCGACGCAAAGCCTCCGGGACCCAATGAGGAGCACGGCAAGGCTGCGGGACACCCAGGTAACATGCTGTCCCATACACCGCAGCCAACAGCGGGATTTGGAGAACACACATGGTTTCCGTTAGCACCCAAAAATGAAATGCTTAGGTCTAAATCTAACAAAATATGTACAAGATCCCTGAGGAAAACTACGAAACCCTGATGAATAAAATCAATGGAAAACCAGACGATGTGGAGGACGCCCCAGCTCTTCCCGCCGGATCTGCACTCGGCAGCACCCGGACGGACTCCCAGCAAGCTATGCTGTAGGTAATGAGATGCTGACCCTAAAGCTTGTACAGGCGCCTACAAGTCCAGAAGAGCCAACATGACACTGCAGGAGAACAGAGTTGGAAGACGGACGAGACCCGACTTAGCCACAGGAATCAAGACGGTGAGAAAGAACAGACAGACGGACGGGACAGAACGCAGAGCCCAGAAACAGACCCACATAAACACCGCCAATTGCTCCCCGGCAGAGCAGACATCGGCTCTCAACAAAGGGCACCGGAACAGCAGGGCTCCACATGCAAAAAAAATCAATCCAGATGCCGACTTCACACCCTTTACAAACATCAACTCAAAACAGACCATCAGTTTAAGTGTCAAATGCCGAGCGAGCCGTAAAACCCCTAGAAGATAACACAGGGAAACCTAGGTGACCTTGGGTGTGGCAATGACTTTTATTTTTAAGTAATCTTTGCACCCAACGTGGGGGCTCAAACTCACGACCCTGAGATCAAGGGTCGCATGCTCCACTGACTGAGCCAGCTGGGCGCCCCTGGAGATGACTTTTTAGGTATAATGCCAAAGGCAGTTGTTGAAAAAAATAATTGGTAAGCTGGGCTTAATTAAAGCGAAAAACTCCCGCTCCAGAAAAGACAACATCAAGAGAATGAGAAGACAAGACATGCTCTGGGAGAAAATATTCACAAAACACACATCTGAGAAAAGACCAGTATCCGAACTACACAGAGAAGTGTCTGTGTCTGGCCGCCTCAGCCCGCAGGGCACACGGCTCCTGCTCTCAGGGTTGTAGGTTTGAGTCCTGTGCTGGGCGTGGAGCTTATTAAAAATACACCTATATGTACATAACTCTTAAAATAATAAAAGAACAAACAACGATTAAAATATGGGCCACAGACAGACTCCTCACCAAAGAGGACACACAGGTAGGAAAGAAGCACAGGAAAGATGCCCCGCATCACATGTCCTCAGGGAAAGGGAAACGGAAGCAGTGAGACACCCCTGCACCTGTTAGAACGACACAGTCTGAGCACCGCCTCCCCTCCTAGTGCTGGCGAGGCGGCGCCGCCCCGGGAGCTCTTCTTCTGCGGTGGGGATGCAACATGGCGCCGCGCCTGGAACACGGCCTGGGGGTTTCTTACAAACCTCACACAGTCCTACCATACAATCTGGCAACCTCCCTCCTGGGTGATCCCCCAAAGGGGCTGACACATTGTCCACAGAAAACCCTGCCTGCGGGGACGCCTGGGGGCTCAGCTGGTTAAGCATGCAACTTTGACTCAGGTCATGACCTCATGGTTCATGGGTTCGAGCCCCACATCAAGCTCTATGTTCACAGCTCAGACCCTGGAGCTGCTTCGGATTCTGCGTCTCCTTCTCTCTCTGCCCATCACCTGCTCATGCTCTGTCTCTCCTTCAAAAATAAACATTAAAAAAAAAAAGACGGGGCACCTGGGTGGCTCAGTTGGTTGGGCATCCAACTTGGGCTCAGGTCACGATTCTGCAGTTTGTGAGTTTGAGCCCTGCTTTGGGCTCTGTGCTGACAGCTCAGAGCCTGGAGCCTGCTTTGGATTCTGTGTCTTCCTCCCTCTCTGCCCCTCCCCTGCTTATACTCTGTCTTTCCCTCTCTCTCAAAAATAAATAAACAAACATAAAAAAAAAAAAGATTCTCTCTCTTCCTCTGCCCCCTACCCCACTTGTGTTCTCTATACATAGAGAGAGAAAAACACTGCATGCAGAGGTTGTAAATGGCATAACTTGGAAGCAACTGAGATGTCCTTCAGCAGGTAAGGGATTAATAAACTGTGGGTCCTCCAGACAAGGAAATATTAATCAGCGCTGAAAAGAAATGAGCTGCCCAGGGGGCTTGGGTGGCTCAGTTGGTTAAGCAACCAACTCTTGATTTCGGCTCAGGCCACCATCTCACAGTTTGGAAGATCAACCCCATGTGGGGCTCTGTGCTGACAGCATGGAGCCTGCTTGGGATTCCCTCTCTCTCCCTCTCATTCTGCCCTTCCCCTGGTCATGCTTTCTCTGTGTTTCTCTCTCTCTAAAATACTTAAAAAAAAAAAAAAAAAAAAAGACATGGCGGAATCTCACATCCGCGCCACAAAGTGAAAGAAGCGAGTCTGCAAAGGCCCTGCACCTATGATTCCAACTACAGACAAACTATGGAGGCCGCAAAAAAGATGAGTGGCTGCCGGGGCTGGGATGCGGGGACAAGAAGGCAAAGCACAGAGGATGTTCAGGGCAGCAAAATGACGGGTTTGCTGTACATTCTGCAATTCTGCGTTTGCTATACATTCCACAGAACGTTCACCAAGAGCGAACTTCAAGGCAAACCGCAGACTGTGGGGGATTATGTGTCAAGGTGAGTCCATCAATGGCAACAAATGGACCACCAGTGGCCATGTTGATAGCGGAGGAGGCTTGGGGGGGGGTGGGCAAGGGTACGTGGGAAATCTCTATCTTCCTCTTAATTTCGAGCCTAAAACTGCTTGAGCAAGATAAAGTCTCTTAAAAGAAAAAAAAAAAACACAGAGATGGGGCACCTGGGTGGCTCAGTCCGGTAAGCACCCGACTCTTGATCTCGGCTCAGTCATGATCTCACGAGTTCGTGAGTTCGATCCCTGCATCAGGCTGTGAATTGTCAGTGAGTAGCCTGCTTGAGATTCTCTCTCCCTCTCTCTCTGTTCCTCCCCTGCTAACTCTCTCTCTCAAAATAAATAAATCAAAAAGAGAGAGGTGCTATTTCAACTCGCCTCCTCCCATAGAACCAACTCCATCTGCATCTGCTGGGGGCCGGGTCCCGGGGCGGGCAGGGAGGGGAAGGGGACCCCAGAAGGAGGCAGCCCCTCCACTTACCGCTTGGCCTCCTCCAGCCGGCACAGGTACTGATAGGCAACATTCTGCCGCCTCTGCTCATCCATTTCCTCGGCCGTGAGGCGTTCATCTGAGGGGTCAGGGGGATCAGGTCAAGGCGGGAAGTATTGCACAAAAGGCCAAGGCACCGAGGCCACTTCTGAACAGACTTGCTTACGCAACTCTGTCCGGAGACCTGAAGCACCCCGTACGTCTGTCCCCCAACTCCTGACAGCCCTGGCTCCCATCTCCAGCCCCCAACCCGGAGAGCCGCCCCGGGCAGCACCGTAACTGGGGGCTCCCCTGCGTCAGAGGTGTTCCGTCGTTTTCCTCTCCAGCCACCTCCTGACCCCTTCTTCCCGTCCATTTCAAGCCCTTCCCTCGGGGTCCCCCCACGCGGATGTCAAGACCCCTCTGTGGCTGGGAACTTAGCTCCATATTTTATCCCTAACAGCCTCTGAGGTCCAAGACCTGGGCCTGTGTCATATTCCCCAAGGACCCTCCCAGAGACGTAGGCTACCAGGGCCATTAGGACTCACCATCCCACAGTCATTCATTCACGCGCTACCTTCTGTAGGTCGGGCCCTGGGCTAGCGGATCCTCACTCTCAAGAAACATGATCAGGGCGCCTGGGGGGCTCAGTAGGTGAAGACCCCCTCTCTTGATTTCAGCTCAGGTCACAATCTCACTGTTTGTGACATGGAGCCCCTCCAGGCTGACAGTGAGGAGCCTGCTCAGGATTCTCTCTCCCTCTCTTCTACCCCTCCCCCACTTGTACACGTGCATGCTCTCTCTCTCTCAAAATAAATAAATAAACTTTAAAAAAAAAGGGGTGCCTGGGTGGCTTAGTCGGTTAAGCGTCCGACTTTCGCTTAGGTCATGATCTCGCGGCTCGTGGGTTCGAGCCCCGCGTCGGGCTCTGTGCTGACTGCCAGCTCAGAGCCTGGAGCCTGTTTTAGTCTGTGACTCCCTCTCTCTCTGACCCTCCCCTGCTCACGCTCTCTTTCTCTCTCTCTCTCTCTCTCCTAGAAATAAATAAAACATTAAAAAAAAAAAAAAAGCAACACGGGGTGCCTGGGTGTTTCCGTCGGTTAAGCGCCCGACTCGGCTCAGGTCATGATCTCACGGTTCGTGGGTTCAAGCCCCACGTCGGGCTCTGTGCCGACAGCTCAGAGCCTGGAGCCTGTTTCGGATTCTGTGTCTCCCTCTCCCTGCCCCTCCCGTGCTCCCTTTCTGTCTTTCTCTCTCGCTCTCAAAAAATAAACATTAAAAAAATTTAAAGAACAAACAGGCAGAAAGGGGCGGGGGGGAGGGGGAGATAGTTCAACGAAGGGAATTATGTAGAAGAGGACACTCACTTGGGATTCAGTGGAAGGACAGAGAATCGTAAAAGATCACAAACTTTACTCTCCTTTTTGGTTAAGTCACTCGGGGAGGAGAACAATCGCCAAGCTCATAAAATGCGGACAACACTGACCCCAAACGTGAGCGCCGGGAGTCCCTCGAGTGAGCCACAACCTCCCTCCTCCTGTCCCCGGCGCTCAGTCTCCTTAGGAAAGACAATAGGAAACCAGACACGGTGGCACACAGACGAGAAATAAACACAGACCAGACGGCCTGAAAAGAGACAGAGCTCACTCCGTCTGCCTTTGACTCAACACTTCATGTCAATCCTACCCTTTTCCTATTTCCTAATCCTGCGGATCCTGCAACAGGATTGGGGGAGGGGCGGGGCTTATTGGAATTGGCAGTGGAGCAAGTGAAAACACACAGGCGCACGCAGAAAACCTCCCCGGTCAGACCCGACGGGACCAGCCAACCGTAGGAAGTCCATCGGTTCCTTCGAGGGAGTGTACAGGGAACAAGCCTTGGCTGCTAAGCACGGAAAATAAACCAGTTAGCCAATGACGTCACCTGAGCTAGGACCCGAAGGCTGCGTGGATGGGCGGGGCTTTGTACACACACGAGTCTTAAAAACAACACAAAGAAAGTCTTCCTGCCCTTCTAAGGTCTGAAGCCAGCTTTCCTTCAACAGAACGGAGAACCGGGACTTTGCTTTTTTGAACCCTCATGGCAAGGAAGGGGAAGGGGTGGAAGAAGGAGATTTCACCTTCATTCCGAAGTATTGAGACAGAAACAGCATGAATGGGGGAGGGTCAGAGAGAGAGGGAGACCCAGAACCCGAAGCAGCTCCAGGCTCCAGGCTCCGAACTGTCAGCACAGAGCCCGACGCGGGGCTCGAACCCACGACGTGAGATCATGACCTGAGCGGACGCCTGACGTTTAACCCCCCAGGCGCCCCCCTAAAGCAGTGTTTCTGCGAGCGCGGCCCACGGACCCCCTGCAGGATACCGGGGCTCAGGGAAGCTGCACAGCGGGCTTGCAAAAATACAGAGAAGGGCCCCAGTCCAGCCCCGCCGGAGCTGAAGCTCGGGGACAGGCCTGCGGGATGCGCACCTGAAAGAAGCCTCCCGGGTAATTCCGACACGAAACTTCGGGAGACCTCGTCTCGAAGCGGCATCAAAAGCCAAGGCCCCTGGCGTCCCGCCCCCCCGGGAGCGCTGGGCATGCAAGCCTGCCACCCGTAACTGCCGCCTGTCTACGCGGCGGTCCAGGCCACCCGCCCCCGCCCGGCCCCAGGGCCCCGGAATGTGTGGAAGCGTGAAGCGCGGCCGAGTCCGGCGTTTCGCCGCCCCCGGGTCCACGGCGGCCCGCCGGCGGCCCGACTGGGGGCTCCCTCCCCGCGGAGCGCAGCCCGCCGCCCTCCTCGGCCCCCTCCGCACTCACACGGCGCCGGGCCCGCGCCCGCCCTCCGCCGCTCCATGTTCCTCCTCCTTCCAGGTTTGAATCTCCCGCCGCCCGGCCGCCGCCCTCACCGACGCCGCGGGCCGGACAGCACTTCCGGCTCGGGCCGCGGGGGCCGCTGGGATTTGTAGTTCCAGGCTGCGCGTGCGCAGGCGCAGGAGCGCCGCGAGGTGCGGAGGAGGAGGCCGCCCCGTGGGGGGGGGGGGGGAGCTGCACTCCCCTCTCTGCACTACCTTGGGCTCCTCCCCTGCGAAGGTAGCCCTAGCCCTTACCCACCATCATTTCTCCCTAGTGTCCCATGGACCCCGTTCCGCCTGCTGTAACAGCCGTGGCTCCCGCTAACTTGCGGGCCAGCTTGTGCTGAACTAGTTGGTGCCGATGCAGATAAGTCAGCATGATGAATGTCTTAAAGCCTCCTCTTCTGGAGTATGAGACAGACCTAGGGTCCAATAAATGAGAGGTCAGTGATACTCAGAAGGACGAGGTCACTGCTGCAACGAAGCTAAGGGCAGGGAAGGTCTGGAAGACTTCCTAGCGGAGGCCACAGCTGATCTGGGTTGGAAAGGGAAAGATTTCACCAGACTGAAAGAGAGAGGAATTTCAGTCCGTGGAAACAGCACGTGCAAGAGCACAGAAGTGAGTTCAGGAAATTGGAAGCGGTTCAGTTTTATCCGAGAAGAACTCTGGGGCAGGGAGAGCAGGGAGAGAGCCTGGAGGGGTGGAGCCCGCGCGGGTACCTTGGGCAGCGCTGAGGTGCCCGGGTGTCCTCTGGGGCAAGTCACAATCCAAGGAACACTTCGGACCCAGGGCAGCGCCCGATTCCTGTTTTGTAAAGACTCCTTCTGCGGCAGGGGCGTGGAGCATGGTGAGGCCAGGGGCAGAGACCTCGGAGAGCTCAGGCGAGAGACAGTAAAGTCCAAACTAGTAAAAATAATGATGACACCTGCCCTAAATTGTTTTCTTACGATATTAATTAGTAGGCTTCCCCATCTGGTATTTCTCCTTTTGCCCTCTGCCCCCCACCCCCATGTCTGGTTCAAGCAAGGAGGCAGCGTGGGTTCATAGGCTCAGGGGAGAGATTTGAAGGGGTCCGAAACAGAAAATATCCACACCTTCAGGGCGGAGACAAAACTGTTTGGGAGATGGGCGTGTTGGAGAGAGTGGGTGTGCCCCGAGACCAGAAGGGACCCGCTTTGCTCTCCACCTGCAGGAGAGTAGAGAAAATCTCGGCTCCTGGCGATAGAGACCGCACACCCCGCTTTCTGAGTAGCACAGGACCCTGACAAGGAGCAGTTGCATAATGAGGCCCTCAGACACTTGTGCAGAATGTCCCCATCTCAGCCAAAAAGGAAGTACCCGGATGAGTTACCCTCACTTCTGCTTTGGGATGAGGGCCCCTGGGCCTGATAGGAAGAAGGGAGGTGTCAGTGGATAGCAAGTAGATGGCTAATGACCCAGTGGGCCTTCCCTCTCAAGTCTTAGCGTCCCAAATTCCCTGCGTCCTGGGGAAAAGGAGGGGATAAATAAACAGACTCACAGTGTCTCCACCATCCCCGTGCAATAGGGGCTTGAAACAGGGACTGGGGAGAGAGGTATTCCTCACATACCAGAGTTAGGGACCGACGCACGACAGGGACATGCATCAGTGTTTATTGCATGCTGGCACTATATTTAGCATTAGCTTGTTTAATCTTCACAAGACAGATGAGGGAACCGAGGCTTAGAAATGTCACACAGCTAAAAACTAGTGGCACCACGAAACAAGCTCAGACGGCGCGGCTCGAAGCTTGAACTCCCTGCCGCTGTGCCACCGCAGCCCTGCCTAGGCGACCGTGGAGGAGAGGGCGCGCTGGGGAGAGGGTTCAGAGCTAGAACCGCATGACCCAGAGCCAGAGGAGAGGGGTCCTCGATGCCCCCCACGTTTCCAGCTTACGGACTGGGGTGGTGGTAGACAGCTAACACTGGGAACATGGGATGGGTAGATGGGAGGAAACAGGAATTTCACTTAGACAAAGTGAGTCTAGAGATACACGTTTAGAAATACCCGGGGGGAGGCTCAGTCGGTTAAGCATCTGACTCTTGATTTCTGCTCCAGTCATGATCTCATAGTCATGAGATCGAGCCCTGCATCGGGCTTTGCGCTGACATCACAGAACCTGCTTGGGATTCTCTCTCTCTTTTCTCTCTGCCCCTCCCCAGCGCAAGCTCACTCTGTCTTTCTCTCTCTCTCTCAAAATAAATAAACAATAAAAGAAATTATTGGCTTATCAGTGGCGTGGAAATCAGAGGAGTAGATGCAATGTTCATGGAAATGTATATAAAGTAAGAAAAGGACAAAGGGCAGAGCATTGGGGACCATTAGCGCTTAAGGGGTGGACAGAGGGCCCAGCAAAGGGACAGAGAAGGAACTGTCGGAGGAAGAGAACGAGCCAGGACACAGCGGGTCCTGGGAGCCCTAGTGAGGGGAGAGTTGCAAGGAGATGTCAGGTAAAGTGGGGATCGAACAAGAAAATGATTCAGAAACGATCACTGGGTCCTTGAGAACCTTGGCGAGAGTAGTTTGAGTCCCTGCATCCTCCCCAAAGCCTCCCCCAAAGCCTGGAGGCCCGTGGGCGTGGGCGGGAGCTGCACGCAGCTGGGACACACCTGGCAGCGGCTGGTGTCTGCACCCCGCAGGCACACGGCAGGTGCTGCCCGGCCAATGCAGGGAGCCCAGCGACTTCCTGGTAACTTGGTTTCTGGCGAAGCCTCTCTACTTTCAAAGAGGCTTCTGCCCCAGGTAAATGAGGACACTTGGTTTCTGAGGCTGCCACCCTCGGTGAGTTAGCGCAGCAGGCGGACGCTGCAGGCCAGCCGAGCCGGGAAAGGGATGCGGGGGCAGAGAGGCTCTTCTGATCTCCAGGCCTTTCCTGACCATCAGCCTTTCACCTCGTTCTCAAATGTGGAACGTACCACGAGGGAGCACTGTGTGTGTGTGTGTGTGTGTGTGTGTGTGTGTGTGTGTGTGTGGAAGGGCTCACTTCGAGGACAGCCCAGGCCGCATTAAAGCTGGCAACGGCGGCTGCGCAGTGGAAGGGACCCTGGGCTCATTAGCGCAGAATCAGGAAACCTGGGGTGTAACTCCTGCTGCGTGTCTCTGTGACCTCAGGCGAGTCCTGCCTGCTTTCTGAGCCTGGTCCCCTCCGCTGTGGAACAGAGTTCGGCCCAGATGGTCTCTGGGGTTGTAACCAGTCACAAGCCCCTCGCACTGTGGCTCCTTTTGCTTCAAGCGAGGGACTTGAGGGGTGTGAGCAGGGGTGGGGCAGGAAGGGCAAGAGAATCCAGGTAACCTTGCCGGTTGCCCTCAGATTCAGCACCAGGATAGGGCGTCTGAACTGTCCATCAAAAACTTCCAAGGGGGGGAGGGCGGTGCCTGGTTGTATGGTAACCCCGGGGCTTGGAGCTAAGAGCTGGGGTGGTAACCCAAGCCAGAGGGACCATTCCAGAAGGCCGGCCAGCCGAAGGGAGGATCGAGGGAGGTAAGGCACCCCGTGGCTGGGGCCCCAAGACCTGGTGGGGTCAGCCAGGAATGCCCCCGGGATGAGGATTGCTAGGTGTTCTTAGTCGCAGGGTGAATTTCTTTGAAAGGAGAGACACCTCTGCCTGCCTCTCCCAAGAAAGACGGGAAAGAACTAAAGAAATGGGGGGGGGGGCTGCTGAGCGCCCAGGGCCCCGTCTCCACCGCCCTTTGCCCCGTCTCCTGGGAAGAGAGTTCTGGAACAGGCTTCCCTTTCTAGGGGAGCAATCCTAACCGGGGAGCACAGGCTGATGCCTGGCGCGGGCACTGGGGGCGGAGAACTAGCCGGCCATGGAGAAAGACGCCCCCGAGGTGGGGCGCAGGCGGTGAAGGGACAGACAGCGCCCTTCTTCCTGAAAGCCGACTCCTTGCCAATTCTACAGGCTGCTCGGCGGCTCGGGTCCCCAGTGCCCTGGAAGGCTCCCGGGACGCAGCAGGCGATCACCGAGCATCTGTTGAGCTGACTCGACTACACCTAGAAGCGCCTAGATTGTGAGTGGACGGGCGTCCGTGGGGAACAGTGAACAGGAGGGAGGCCCTGCGCGTGCCCTGCTCATCTGCCTCTTCGTTTTCTCCTTCAGTGAATGCTTTTTGTATTGTGGTAAGGTACACATAGCATACATTTTTATCACATTAAGCCGTTTCTAAAGGCTCCGCCCAGTGGCATTAGGTACACGCACATTAATGTGCCGCCATCCCCACCACCCATCTCCATCCCGTTCGATGACCGTTTATTGAGGACCTACTATGTTCACGTTCGCTCCAGATCTGGTGGGAGAGATAGACAAGGAAGTCGGCCACTTTCACCCGGTGTGATAAATGCCGGGAAAATCGCAGGCATACGGTGCTCTGGGGTCCGGAGGGGCCCGGGCGGCTGAGGGAGGAGGCTTTCTGTCACTCAAGCTGGGTCCCGAGGGAGGAAAGGGAACGAATTGGGACGTTGGAGTCAGGGCTGAGGTGGCGCCCACGAGGATCACCGAAGTGAAGTGCGGGGGCAGCGAGAAGTCCTCATGGCCCAGGGCAGGGGGGGGGCAGGGGTAGGGCTGAGGCTCCCTGTGGGTCCTGCTTTGGAGGAAGGCAAGGGTGACATGCTGACCCCTCTGCTCCCCATTATCAGCACCATGTCTTTCTCCAACCCTGAGGATACCCCCCAAAAGCCTGAGTCCGCGTCTGAACCCTCAACCTCCAAGCAGAAGAAGAAGAGGAGAAAGCGGTCACAGCAAGAGGCCAGCGTCCACGCCCTCACCAGGGCGGGCCACGGGGCGCTCCTGGCTGGCCGGAACCACGAAGCCTTGACCAGCTTCCAGAAGGCCTTCGCCCTGGCCTCCGAGGCCCCGCGCACTCGCGACGCCCCTGTTCTCCGGGCCTGTGCCTTCAACCTGGGGGCTGCCTACGTGGAGACTGGGGACCCGGCCCGGGGCCTCGAGCTGCTCCTACGGGCCCAGCCTGAGGAGGAGGCGCAGGGCAGGCGTCATGGCGACCAGTGCTTCAACGTGGCCTTGGCCTACCACGCCCTGGGCGACCTGCCTCAAGCTTTGGCCTGGTACCAGAGGGCCCTGGGTCACTACCAGCCACTGGGTGACCATGGGCAAGCCCAGGCAAAAATGGGAGCCTGCTACGAGGCCCTGGGGCGGCCCGAGCTAGCGGCCCACTGTCTGCAGGAGGCAGGCCGGGCCTACGCCCAGGCGGGCCGGCCCCAGGCTGCGGCCCTGGCCTTGGGGGCTGCCGCGGGGTGTATGCTGAAGAGCGGGCGGCACGGGGTGGGCGCGGTGGTGCGGGTGCTGGAGGAGAGCCGGAGGCTTGCGGAGAGGACCCCGGAGCACAGACTGCTGGGTGAGACCTGCGGGCACGGAGGTGTGGGGGCCGGGGAGGTCAGACCGGCGGATATTCTGAGAGGTGGGGTGCAAGCAGAGGCTCTCCCAAGGGCTGGGGAAGGGCCCGGGGACCCCAGGATGGGGGACAGGGGCGGCACCGGCACAGCGTCGGCTGCGGCTGACCTGGCTACCGGTGACCCTGGCCACGCCCTCCAGGGCACCTCTATAATGACCTAGGCCTGAGCTACTCCCAGCTCCAGCTGTTCCCGCTCGCGGCGGAGGCCTTCCTGCGGGCCCTGCCCCTGTGTCGGGGGCCGGGAGAGGAGGCCACGGTGCTGAGGAACCTCGGGATGGCCCACAGTGCCCTCGGCAACCACCGGCAAGCCCGGGACCTTCACCAGAAGGCTGCTGACCTGCATGGTGGGCACCAGGGGCCGGGGGCAGGGATTGGGACCGAGGGATTAACGGGGGTGGGGGGGTCCAGTTGGGACCTGTGGCTGGAGCTCGGACAGACCTTTGGGACTGGTTATGGGGCCAGGAAGCCCAGAGCCAGGGGTGAGGGCTAGGGATGCAGGAGGTGGGGTAGCCAGACGGGAAGGTGGGCTGAGGGCCCGGAGGTGAAGCCTGGGGGTGGGCAGGGTGCAGTGGGCAGAGGGAAGGGCCCCGGCCAGGAGGGGAGCCTGACGCGGAGCCCAGGGTCGCTCTGGCTAAGCGGTGGTGTGACAGGGAGTCACGGTGGCTCTCTGCGCTTCAGCTGCTGCACCTGCAAGAAGGAAACTTTGCTGCTTCGCAGGGTTAGCAAGTCACAGGGTCATTGCACGGCTCAAAGGGGCCGGCGGGGGCGGGGACGGGGGTGCATTCAGGCCACAAAGCAGGCCCCAGGAGAGGTCCCCGCGGTGCCGCTGGAGGTGTGCTGGGGCTGAGTGCCATGACTCCTGGGGGCCCGCCCTTGGCGGTTGGGGGACATGCCTCAGCAGCCGAGGTCGCCTCTTAAGAGGGGGTGGCTCTGTCGTCAGGCTCCGCGGGGCAGCGGCAGGAGCAGGGCCGGAGCTTCGGCAGCCTGGCATTTGCCCTGAGCCAGCTGGGGGACCACGGAGCAGCCAGGGACAGCTACCTCCACGCCCTGCAGGCGGCCCGCGACACCGGTGAGGCGGTGTGGCCGGTGGCTGGGCGGGGGGAGGGGCTGAGGGGTCTGGGGGCTGGTGGGAGGCTCAGCCATGTGGGGGGCCGTGAGAGGACCCCGGGCTCTCTCCCCAGGGGACACGAGGGGCCAGTGGCAGGCCTGCGAGGGGCTGGGGGCTGCTGCGGCCAGGCTGGGGCAGCACGAGCAGGCCCTGAGGTACTACAAGGAGGCGCTGGCCCGGAGTCAGGTGAGGGCCTGCTGCCTCCCGGGGCCTCCTCTGCTGACGCTCCCGCCTTCCCTCGCCTGGTCTCCCCACCCCTCGTCACCCACCAGACACGCCCTGGGCACCGTGTGCTAGGCCACTTCTGGGAGGAGGGGTCCGCCTCTGTCCACAGCTGTGGGCGGGCGGTGCCCAGGGAAGGGGGAGAAGGAAGACAAGGCCCCCCCGCTCCCCCCCATCTCCTGTTTCTTTCCTCCCCGATCCCCAGAGGAGCACATAACCCAGGCGATTACCCCCATCACTCCCCATTACCTCCCTCCAGAAGGAGCCGGACTCTGTGCGGGACCGGCTGGTGGCCAAGCTGGCGGACGCCATGAGGACGCACTTGGCCTGGGCCGGGCTGGTCCCCACGCACACCCTGGTGAGGGGCCACCTGAGACAAGGCGTGGGGGTGGGGAGAGGTGGCCCGCAGAAGGGAGCGGTGGCAAGCAGAGCTGATGCCCTCCAGGCTGCCATCCTGTGTTCATCTGCCCCATTGCCTGCAGAGGAGACACGTACCGCCTTTCCGAGGCCACCAGGGGGTAGGGGGTGGGCGGGGGGATGTGGCACGTCTCCCAGCACTAGGCACTGCCAGGCCTTTGCCTGGGTGGTAACTAGCCCCGAGCGTGAAGCCAAGGGATGCAGGCAAGGATGCGGAGTCCTACCCAGAGGAGCTGGAAACCGTCCTTGGCTGCAGTTCTCCGAAGGGCCACCGGATGGCGGCAGTGCTGCGGGAGGGTCCCTTGGGTCTCCGCCATCCCCTCGCTCTCTGGCTCCCCCCACCCTCTCTCTGCCTCCCTGCCTCTCACCCCTTCAGATACCCTCAGGCAACCCCCCCACCCAGGAATTAAAATTCTACTTGAGTATATAGTATATTTATTTAATGAGGCTTATATTTTCTCTTAAAGACCAGGACACTGTATTTATAATTTGCAAGTGAAACTACATTAGCCTGGTTTGGGCAGAGGACTGGGCTGGGGTCAGAGAGCTGGGGTCCATCTGAAGGCAGCCACCGACTTCCTGTGACTTTGCCCCTGGAGGTCCCAGGCAGGATGAGGTGGAGGCCAGGCTCTGGCCATGTCCGATCGTCCGCGAGCCTGAGCTCTAACTTGAGGGGTGCTAGCAGACACCTCGCCACCGATTCCCACTCTCGGAGGCGTGGCACAGCCCAGTTTGTCTCTAGCACATCTCTGTCTGTGTGGGGCCTGCGTGTGCAGGGAACACAGGCTCGTGGATGGATACATCACAGCGGGTTCCCTTTACTCCCGGCCACCCCCAGACTTCGGCGCCAGGGAGGCCCCAGGCTTCAGGTGGGCCGGGAAGGGGCCGAGCAGAAGTGCGGCACAGGTGAGTGGGGTGAGGCCAGGGCGCCCAGGTATGCGGCCCTGGTGGGGTTGGGGCCACGCCACGCAGGCACCCCGGGGAGGAGGGCACCCGGCCCTGGCGCTGCTCTGCCTCCTGTTCCCTGCCCCTCCAGGTCTTCGGGTGGGTGGGACGAAGAAGAGTTGGACCAGGGCCAGGAGAGAGAGGGCCAGGCACCACCGGATGTCCCCGCGGCCTCCTGGGCGCAGAGGCTGGAGTGTGAGTGACAGCGGGCTGTCCCCAGCCATGCGTCTCCTACCTGGAAGTGGGAGCACTCTCTCCCCCACGTTCCTTTCCTGAATGCTCCCCCTGCCCCCCATCTGCCGCTGAGGCCTGACAAGCCCTTCCCCCACCCTGCTCACGTCTCAAGGCCCTGGCCCAGTTTCCTTGACCTCTTTTTCAGTCACCCCTTCCTCGCTGCTTCCGTGGCTTTCCTAACTTCTAGAACTTTGCATCTTAGAACACCAAGTTTCAGTGACAGCCTGCCCCGTGCCAGGTACTGAGACTGAGTGATTTTCTTGCCCTAGCTCCCCTTTCACCAGCCTCTTCCCCCAAAGGCTTCGACCTCTGGGGCCAGAGCTCCTGGCTACTTGCTGTTCACACTTGAATTCCCTGTGTTCTGTGCGGGGCGTTGTCCCCCAGGCAGCGGTGAGCCGTAGCCAGCCCAGCTTTGCCAGACACCTGCCGGGAGAGGGCGGCCTTCTGCGTGCCCTCCGTGGCAGTGCCCCGCGAATGCACCCCGACGCGCACACTCCGTGCTCTTCTCCCTAAGTTTCCCCTTTCCGCCATGTGGTTCTTGTCGCGGAGAGGCCTGTGATGAATGTGCCTGTCCCTCCTGATCCAGGTCCAGGACCTGGGGCCCATCTCCCGCTTGGAGGCCAAGGCCCCCTCCGAATGGAGCATCCTGGCACTCGGGTACCCAGTGGCCCCCAGGTCCACAGGTGGGTGCCTGGGGGAGGGGAAAAGGCCTGGGGAATGGATAAATGTGGCTTTGGACGGTTTTAATGGGGGAAGGGGGGGAGGTCCGGCCCAGTGCTTGGGGGCATAGTGCTTGGACCCCGTCTGTCTTTGCCCTCGAGCAATCTTAACAACACTCCCCCAGCTCTGGAAGCCCGGGGCTTGTCTCCTGCACAGCCTGACTGTAGGCCTCCCAGAGAGGGAGAGTCCCGCTGGGTGGGGGGCGTGGGGCTCAAGTCTGTCCCCTCCTGCCCTGGGGCCCAGCGGCGAAGGTGAAGGCCAAGGGCGGGCAGCAGGAGCTGCAAGGACAGGCTGCCCTCTGCTCTTCCCCTGGCCGCGGTGCCCCCCGCAGGTCACCCAGATGGCCCAGGGACACCCCCAGCAGGAACCCTCCAAGGAGACCCACCAAGTCTGGCTTCTGTGCCATCATGTGACTCCACTCTGCTGGCCCCGAGGGCGGCCTTTGTGCTACCTCCGCAACACACACGTCCAGGGGTTCTGGGACCGAGCCCCTCCCCGGCCATTCAGCGCTGTACGGACACGCGGTAGGACCCCGAGGGCAGATGGGCTGCTGAGCACGCTGAGCACGGGCTTTGCGCACTCGGCTCTGGGATGTTCTGTTCGCTCCTCACTGGGAGTTTGGGACTCAGGGGGTTAAAGGAAAAGGGGACACGGACAGTGAGTTTCCTTCTGGATTCGAGCCCCATGACTGCTAAGGCCCTTGCCAGTTCTAAAAGCTGTGACTCGTTGGTCAAGAGGCTTTGCAGTCACTGTCTGTCTCCAGACCTCTATTTTCCCGAGTGGGAAATGGGGATATAACCCTACAGCGGACGCCTCTGAACGCACTGATGTGCTGTCACGGGCTTGGGAGGCAGCCCCGGTGCCCGTTCTCCACGAAGAGGCCCTGGCCACACGCTGACAGACGGCAGAGGAATGTATTTTTTGTTTTAAGTTGAAATAAAAGAATCCATTCTGGGTCATGTCAGAGAAGAGAACCACTCACCTTGAGATTTTGAGGATTCATTGAAATATCTGCAGAGGCGCCCATATGCCCAGCACACGACCAACTGCTGGGGACACAGGGGACACGGCCGCTCATCCTTCTTATTGTCTTGTTGGGGGTGTTTTGATTTGGGTGCAGGTTGGGCTGTAACAGAGCCCAACGTACTCTACCCGTGCCTTTATTTATTTTAAGTTTATTTATTTATTCTGAGAAGGAGGGAGGGCCAGAGAGAGATGGAAAGAGAGAAAATATCCCAGCACAGAGCCTGACGCAGGGATCAAACCCACGAACCGTGAGACCATGACCTGAACTGAAATCAAGAGTAGAACGCTTCAGCGACCGAGCCACCCAGGAGCCCGGTAACTGTGCCTTTAAACAGAGAGAACGTCACTCGCGTCTCACCGTCTCACGTGAGCAGTCCCTGTGGACGCGGCGGCTCCCTGGAGTCGGCCAGGAAGCTCTGCCGAGTCCCCAGCACAGCATTCCCCAGCCGCCGTCCTGAACTAGCCACCTCCCCCCACCGCCGCGGTGTAACCTCTCCTTTCCTGTCAGTGAGAAGGGAGAAGGAAGTGGAGGGAAACATGACATTTTTTTCAGAGGTGCGATCTGGCAGTTGCAAGTCATTTCTGCTCGGACCTCATTGGTCAGAGTGTAGTCACATGTATGTGCCGGCTGCTGCAAGGGACACTGGGAGATGCAGTGTTTCTGGGGCAGCCACGTGGGCCGATAAAACTCGGGAGTTCTACTGCCAAGAGAAGAAAGGAGAATGGGCTTTGAGGGACGAGTAACAGCACCTGCCACACGGGCGCATCGCCACGGGATCAGGCCGACCCGGTAACAACCGTCACCGGCTCTACTACTTAATAGCTGTATTATCTTAGGGAGATGACTTTTCACTCTGTGCTAGTCCATTTCCTCATCTATAACAGGAGGACAAAACTACATCGCAGGATTGACAGATGAAATATGTAAGCATCTGGAACTCAGCAGTGCTCCATCCACGAGCCTCTCCTAAACTGGTTTTGAAGGCATTTCCCAAAGAAAATTCCAGAAGTCTGAAAGGCAGAAATAGGATGGAGTAGGTCTTCAGCTCCAGGTCCTGGGGACAGCCATCTTTTGGTTGTTTTATAAATTCTGGGGACATGAGGTGGGATATCGGTGTCCCTGTTCTATACTTACATCTCATCAGAATGAAGAGAGCAGTGACAACCCTTTGATTACCTATTTCCACACCGGAGACGTCAGTTCAGTACAGACGGATGCTTCAGAGTGCTGACTCTAGGTCAGGCTGTGTGGATCCGAGCTCCCCCTCCCCCAACAGCTATCCCTGTGGCATCAGCATGCGGTTCAACACCTGTAAGTCTCAGTTTGCTCATCTGTAAAATGGGAACAATACCAGGACTGCTGCAAGGGTAAAATGAGCTGATTCATGTTAGCACGTGGCACACGTAAATATTCAAATGTTATCTGTCAAGAAAGCATGCTTCACATTGTGTTTTAGAAATGAATCTTCAGGGGCACCTGGCTGGCTCAGTTGGTGGAGCCTGTGACTCTTGACCTCAAGGTCATGAGCTCCAGCCCCATGTTGGGTATAGAGATTACTTAAAGGAAAATAAAATCTTAAAAAAAAAAAAAGTAAAACTACTTATATATACTGATGATGATATACAGTTAATGAGGTCTTGGATAAGATTATCCAATTGGGTTTGTTTTTAATTTTTAATAGTTTATTTTTGAGACAGAGAGAGAGAGAGACAGCATGAGTGGGGCAGGGGCAAAGAGGGAGGGAGACACAGAATCTGAAACAGGCTCCAGGCTCTGAGCTGTCAGCACAGAACTTGATGCGCGGCTCGAACCCACGAACTGTGAGATCATGACCTGAGCTGAAGTCGGACGCTTAACCGACTGAGCCACCCAGGCCCCCCAAGATTATCCAATTGTAAGGTACATTACAATTTAGATGTGGGGCGCCTGGGTGGCTCAGTTGGTTGAGCGTCTGACTTTGTTCAGGTCATGATCTCACAGCTCATGGGTTCAAACCCTGCGTCAGACTCTGTGCTGACAGCTCAGAGCCTGGAGCCTGCTTCACATTCTGTGTCTCCCTCCCTCTCTTCTCCCCCATTCAAGCGTGCTTATGCATGCTCTCTCTTTCAAAAATAAACAAACACTTAAAAAATGTTTAAAAACAATTTAGACGTAAAAACCCAATTTCTAGCCACAAACACAGTCTAACAAAAACAATTTTCCACCAAAAATGCAGTCTGATAAATTCTATTTCCTACAACAAACATGTAAAACAAGCGTAGGTGAGAGACAAGGGTACATCTTATAGGAGACAAATCTTTTTAATTAAAAAGGAGAATATCAGAAGAGTAGTTAAAAACGTGAGGAATTCTTGCCTTTCTCAGTGACCTGGTGAGGATGCAATTCATGACACACAAAAAAATTCACTAACTTAAAAGCAGGAACTTCACCTGGATAATTATCTTTATCTTTTTTTTTTTTTTTTTTTTTTATTTCTAGGAGAGAGAGAGACAGACAGACAGCGTGAGCAGGGGAGGGTCAGAGAGAGAGGGAGACACAGACTCTGAAATAGGCTCCAGGCTCAGACCTGGCAGTCAGCACAGAGCCCGACGGGGGGCTCGAACCCACGAACCGTGAGATCATGACCTAAGCGAAAGTAGGACGCTTAACCGACTAAGCCACCCAGGCGCCCCTTTTATCTTAATGTCTTAGTGGTAACTGGTATATTATTCCCAAGACTCACCCCCTTAAGTATGTGAGAGTGTGTTTGCATTCTATTTATTTATTATTTTTGAGAGGGTAGAGGGGCAGAGAGAGAGCAACAGAGGATCTGAAGAGGAGAGCAGAGACCCAGATACGGGGCTCGAACTCATGAAATGTGAGATCATGATAGCCTAAACCTTAGGCTTAACTAACTGAGTCACCTGCGCGCCTGTTTTGTTTTGTTTTTTAATTTTTGTGTTTGCATTCTTAAAAGCACTTGGGTAAAAACTGTAGTCTCTCCTCCAGGTGTTTCTTGATATGTTTTCAGAATCTGGAGTCTATGGTTTCAACTACATTAAAAAAAATATTTTTAAGGTTTTATTTATTTCTGAGAGAGAGAGCGCGAGCGAGCACTAGAGCAGGGGAGGGTCAGAGAGAGAGGGAGAAACAGAATCTGAAACAGGCTCCAGGCTCCGAGCTAGCTGTCAGCACAGAACCTGATGCGGGGCTCGAACCCACGAACTGTGAGATCATGACCTGAGCTGAAGTCGGACACTTAACTGACGGAGCCACCCAGGCGCCCCTCAACTACATTTTTAACCATGACACTTTTTTTTTTTTTTTTTTTATTTCTAGGAGAGAGAGAGAGACAGCGTGAGCAGGGGAGGGTCAGAGAGAGAGGGAGACACAGAATCTGAAACAGGCTCCAGGCTCTGAGCTGGCAGTCAGCACAGAGCCTGACGCGGGGCTCGAACCCACGAACCGCGAGATCATGACCTAAGCGAAAGTCGGACGCTTAACCGACTAAGCCACCCAGGCGCCCCTTAACCATGACACTCTTAACCTGTTTAACGTTTATTTATTTATTTAATGTTTTATTTATTTCTTAGAGAGAGAGAGGCAGCGTGAGAAGGGGAGGGGCACAGAGAGGGAGACACAGAATCCGAAGGAGGCTCCAGGCTCTGAGCTGTCAGCACAGAGCCCGATGCAGGGCTCAAACCCACGAACGGTGAGATCATGACCTGAGCTGAAGTCGGGCACTTAAACCGACTGAGCCACCCAAGCGCCCCATGTTTAACGTTTATAATCTTGTATTTCCACAGCTATTATCTTGACAACGGGGGACAAGGGTTATGTGTGATTAGAGAAATGCATCGAGCCACCCTGGGAAGCAGATGTAGGGCAGCTAATGTACTGGGGGAGGGATCCTAAATTACACTGTAAACAGCACTCCAGCCGGTCTTAAGGGTTAACTTACTTCAAGCTTAGGTGCTCCTTGCTTGTTGACCTAGGTCCCTTGGTCTGTAGCAAAACACCTGCCTTCCTGGAGATTCTGCAAACCGCTGGCCTTGAGGAGTGAGGGACCAGGCTCTGCCGGAGGTAAGGCCTGTGCAGGGTCATGACCACAAACTGATAGGGAAAACTCTGTTATAAGATGGCCGGCAGGACTGATAAGGAACTATCTGTCCCGGATCAAAGGCTCCCTCTTCCAGGTGCTTCTTCCCACACTGCTGGTCTCACGCATTAATGAGGAATGCGGAAGTAACAGGCTACAAATTACTCCCACTGCTGATGCTCTGGGCTCAGACCTCTGGAGCATGATCTCTGAGCCCCGCGGTGTAAAATAAGCCTCCTCCCGTCCAGGATCGCCGAGCGCCGCTTGGTTCTTCGGCCGGTGATCCAGACCAGATTCCGCAGCAAAACGACTAAGGGCCCAGGCACCAGCTTCCCTCGCACAAGCCCCCACGTTTCTGGCGCCCGCCCCTCCCCCTTAAAGACCTCCGGCTTGGCCGGATGGGCAAGGTGGCCTTTGGGGTGTTGGTGCACTCTCTTCCTGAATAAAGCAAACCTTCCTGGGGCGCCTGGGGGGCTCAGTCGGTTACGCATCCGACTTCGGCTCAGGTCATGATCCCATGGTTTGTAGGTTCGAGCCCCACATCGGGCTCTGTGCTGACGGCTCAGAGCGCGGAGGCTGCTTCCGATCCTGTGTCTCCCTCTCTCTGCCCCTCCCCCATTCGCTCTCTGTCTCCTCAAACATGAATAAATATTAAATTTAAAAAAAAAACACCTTCCTTTCCCGCCATCGCTGGTCTCTGGAGCCCCGCCCTTCCAGCCGGCGCAGCCCACCCCGCCTTGGGAACCGCTTGCGGTGTGAGTGACGTTAGCCCGACTGAGCGCGCGGCGGCCGGCTCTGCAAGCGCTGGCGCCCGCGGAGCGCGTGCTCGCAGGGCCCTGACGCCAGGGGCGCCCCGGGCGCGGCCAGCTGGCTCGTGCCCGGGAGGCTGCGGGAGCGGCGCCGGCGGAAGGAACGCTGGAGCCGGCGCCCGCGAGGGGGCGGGACGAGCCGCGGCTCCGCCTCCGGGGGGGGCGGGGCGCGCGCCGCGCCTGCGCCGCACGCGGGGGGAGGGGCGCGCGCCGCGGGCTCCATGAGGGCGCTGCGGGCGGTGCTGGGGTTCGGGCTGCTGGCCGCCGGCTCGCACCTGCCGCGCGTCCGGGGCCCGGCCGCGGTCTGCCGCGCGGGGCCGGCCTGGTGGGGGACGGGGCGGCCGCAGTCGGGCGGCCGCGGGGACCCGGCGCCCATGGCGAGCCCGGCGGTGAAGTACCTGAGGTAGGCGGGGCTCGGGCGGGCTCGCTCCGGGCCGGGGGCCGGGGCCGGGGCCGGGACTCAGGCCGCGGGTGTCCACAGCCAGGAGGAGGCCCAGGCCGTGGATCAGGAGCTGTTCGGCGAGTACCAGTTCAGCGTGGATCAGCTGATGGAGCTGGCGGGGCTCAGCTGCGCCACAGCCATCGCCAAGGTCGGTGGCGCCGGGCAGGCCCCATCGCCGCGGGGTGGCCGGGACGGCCTGGGGCCGCCCAGCGCCCCTGTGACGCCCCCTGCCTCCGCCTGCAGGCCTACCCGCCCAAGTCCATGTCCCGGAGTCCCCCCACGGTCCTGGTCATCTGCGGGCCCGGGAATAACGGAGGAGACGGCCTCGTGTGCGCCCGGCACCTCAAGCTCTTTGTGCGTCTAGGGGGCGGGCCGGGGTGGCGGGGGTGGGGCCTCCGAGATCCGGCCCTGAACGACCCCTCTCTGCCCCCTAGGGCTACCAGCCAACCATCTATTACCCCAAAAGGCCTAACAAGCCACTCTTCACCGCACTGGTGACCCAGTGCCAGAAAATGGACATCCCCTTCCTTGATGAAATGCCCGCAGAGGTAGGTGGCTCTGCCCCCGCCCGGTCTTCCTCTGGAGGACCGACTCCTGGCAGGTGGGGCGGTGCCCCGCACAGGTGCCCGAGGCGGCCTGTCCCTTCACGGCCACACCTGTCCCTCTGAGGTCAGGGCCTGCCCAGCCGGCAGCACACGCGTCTTCTCAGGCTGAAGGGACTGCCTCGTCGTAAGCCCTTCCTGCAGGGCCACGGACCGAAGGATGCGCAAGAACTTTTTTTTTTTTTTTTTAAGTTTCTTAACGCGTTGCACAGAGGAAGGGACAGGCATTGCAGAGGAGGGAGGGGTCTGTCCTGACTTCAGCCGCTGTGGCCTCCCCAGTGGCAGGCAGGCCCTTGGAGCAGAAACCGTGCGTGGACTCAGCTTGTCCTAAATCACTGACCAGGTCGCACTGAAGCCTCTGACCAAGATAAAATGACACAGGTGCCTGAGTGGCGCGTGCAGGAGACAGCTCTGTCCTGTCCGGGGCCCTCACACCCTGTCCCCTCCCTGCTCCACGACAGGCCAGGCTGATCGACGAGCTGTACGAGCTGGTGGTGGATGCCATCTTTGGCTTCAGCTTCAAAGGTGACGTCCGGGAGCCATTCCGCGGTGTCCTGAGCGTCCTGGGCGAGCTCACCGTGCCCGTCGCGAGCATCGACATTCCCTCAGGTGCCGGGCCCAAGGAATTTGGGGGGGCACTGGGGCTGAGGTCCTGCCCTAAGTACCCAGGAGACCTCATTCTTGACCCAAGGCCCAGGCCAAGCCGTAAGCAAGTTGAGCGTAGGGGGGCAGGATACAGCTTTCAGGACTCACGGCAGGGCCTGGGAGGCCGGGGGCAGGCGACACCAGAGCCTAGGAGGCCGCGGAGCACCAGGGGCGTGGGGACACGGGAGCCCCTGCTTGCTCAGGGCTGGGGCAGAGCAAGGCAGGGAAGGGGCATGGACACCTGGCCGCCTCTCGCCCGCTGACCACCACCCTCTTTCCAGGCTGGGACGTGGAGAAGGGGAATCCGGGGGGGATCCAGCCGGACTTGCTCATCTCCCTGACCGCACCCAAAAAGTCTGCAGTCCACTTCACCGGCCGCTACCACTACCTGGGAGGTCGTTTTGTGCCTCCTGCTCTGGAAAAGAAGTACCAGCTGAACTTGCCACCCTACCCTGACACGGAGTGTGTCTACCGTCTGCAGTGACGGAGCTGGGCAGCTGCCCCTCCCAATAAAGACTCTGTGGCCTCTCAGCGCTATGGGGTCCCGAGAGCTGATCTGGGAGTGAGGGTCACTGGGTGGCAGGGGCCGGAGAGCGGCGCTGGAGACAGGGCACCACCTCTGGGGGAGCAGAGCAGGCAAGGCCCGGCTTTTGGGGACACTGAAGACAAGACTTTCAGATGCTGGAAAAAACCTGCTGAGGAAGGTTCTGAGCTTTCTTCTGCGAACAGGGCAGCAAAGCCGTGGGAGGGAAATGAAGAGACGCCTTGAGGCCCCCGAGGAGACTAATTTGTATTCAGGATGCTCAGGCCGGGCACAGGGAGGCCAGGTGGCGCCTCCACCGGGGCCCAGAGCCCAAGCTCAGGTCTAACCGTGTCTCCCAGGGCCCAGGCGGGTGAGCTGTGGGCTGGCTCCCCTTCCGGCCGCCCCTGCGCTGGCAGCTGCCTCTGGCCAGGGTGACCCCCCAGCGGGCTTCCGCCTTCCTGTCCCCAGCACTGCACCCCGCGGTGCCCGAGGTCACCAGCTCCAGGTTAGAGGCTGTGGAGGCGCTCCACTCCAGCTTCCTCCTTGGGAGGACTCGTCCCAGAGAGGCCGCAGGAGGCCTGTGCCCACCTGGGTCTGAGGCTCCAGATGCGGACAAGGAATCCGCAGAGCCCCCTGGACCGGCCTTCAGTCCTTCTGTTTCTTCTTTCTTGTTCTCTCGTCGGGGCTGACTCCGGCTCTTCCCTGCTTCGTCTTCTTACCCCTGCTGCCCGAGCCCCCCTCCTCCTCTTCCTCCTGGTGCCGCTGCCTTTTCTCCTGGCTTCTCCTGTCCCCGTGCGCCCTGCCTGCTGCTTCCCGGGCGCCCCCCGCCGCTGCAGCCTCCGCGCTCAGGTCTTCCTCCTGCAGCCGCCGCCTCCGCCTGCGTCTACTGTGCGGCTCCGCAGCCTCCCAGCCGCCTCCCGCCCCGCCAGAGACCCCCTCCTTCTCTGCACGGTGCCGCCGCTTCTCCCTTTTTCTGGGGGGCCCATCAGTGTGCTCCCCGCGCCCCCGCTCTCCAGGCCCCCTTGCCCCCGCGGCCTCTCCGTCCCCGCTCCCGACAGCTGTGCCTTCCCTCTCCTCTGCAGCCGCTTCCTGCTGCCTTTTCTTCTTCCTGCCTCTCCCGAGGCGCCGGCCTGGGTCCTCTGGGCACCTCTCTCCGGCTTTCCCGTCAGCTGCTGCCGCTTCTTCCTGCTCTTCCTGCTTCCTTTTCTTTTTCTTCTTCTTGTGGGGCTTGCTCTCGGGCTGTAGTTGAGGGGCCCCGGGGTCCCCGCCTTTGAGCTGAGCCAAGAAGGCCTGCTCCTGGGCCTCCAGCCGAGCAAGCTTGGCCTTCATGGTGATCCCAAGCCGAGCAGCCCTGGGACAGACAGGGCGCGGGTCAGGGTGGGGTACAGGGGAGGCAAGCCCAAGGGGAGGGGCTGCCCCCCTCTCCCATTTTAAATATTTACTTTGGAGCCCAACGTGGGGTTCGATCTCACGGACCATGAGATCATGACCTTTGCCACAATGAAGACGCCTGACTGAACCCCGCAGGCACCGCGCAGCTGCCTGTCCCCGGCAGCCGGAACCCTTCCCCCGGGTGCTCTCAATGGGGAGGAAAGCAGGGAGCCCAGGGAGCGAACGCGACTCACTTGTGTGCCGTCCGCCCCTCGCAGGCCTGGAGCAGCATCTCATCGGTCAGGCTGTGGGGGGGGCGGGGGATCAGGACTCACACAGCACTCGCGGAAAGGCCTGGCCTCTCCCAGCCTCTCAACACCTGTCCACACTGAGCTCCTGCTCAGGGCCTGGCACGTTCCAGGGTGGGCGAGGCAGAGCCCAGCACGACACGGTTCCACCAGAGTGGCCCACTCAGGCACGAGGCCCGGGGTTTCCTGAGATTCAAAGGCCTTCCGCCCCGCACGCCCCCCACCACTAAAATGAGCTCTCACATCTCTGGAGGCTTGGGCCCCTGGCTGTCGCCTCCACTGCGCCTCTCCAAGTCCTCGTTTGGCTGCTCCCCGCTTGACGTCAGCGTGGCCGTCTAGAAGGAGCGATTGGGGGGGGGGGCAGAGCCCACTCAACACCACTGCCAATCCCTCTTCCCTCCTGGACCCCTGCCCCCCACAAGAATTGGCAGCCGTAGGCACAAATCTGCCAGTGCCCAGCACAGCTCCCTCAGGCCCCCAGAGGCTTGCGAGCTGCAGGGGTGGGGGTCGCAGCTGCAGGGGTGGGAGCCCGTGGGGGGCAGAAGACGGGAGGAGGGAGAGCTCCGGACCAGTGGGTCCTCGTGGTGCTGACCGGCCGTAGACAGTACTTCTCGCCCCTCCCCCACACCCACACCCAGGCCTTTACGGAAGCTGACTGAAAACGCACTGCGGGCCAGGGGCTGGGGTCCCGGGTGGAACGGGACCGAGAGGGGTCCGGCCCACGTGGAGCCTACGTGTGGGGCGAAGGCAGGAAGGCGGAACACGGGCCGTCATGACCAAAGTGCTGCCTGTGCTGGAGGAGGCACCCGAGCCGACTTCGGGGTCTGGGGAGGCTGCGGGCACTTGGGGAGCTCCGGGGGACGCCCCAAGGCCGCCAGGAAAAGGGGGAAGCGCTGCAGGCAGCGGAGGGAGCGTGCGCAAAGCCTTGAGGCCGAAAGAAGATGGTACCTTCTGGAGAAGCGCATCCCTCTGGCTAACCGTGCAGAGGTCCCGATGGGGTGGGTGCAGGCCCAGGCTGCAGGGCCACATAAGCCAGTGTGACCCATCAGGACTGTCCCAGCTCAGGGACGAGCCAGAGCCCCAGGGAACCCTGCTCTGCGTCACTGAACTAACGGGGTGGGGAGTCCGCGTGAGGCGGTGGACGAGACCCGGCAGCAGGACGACGGCCACAGCCATGAGGACACACGGGAAAGGGCTGCTACATGACACACAGAGCCCTTCATCCCTTCAGTCAGTGCGCTGGGAAGTGGGAGTCTGTGGGGCGCCGGGGGGCTCAGTCGGTTAAGCCTCCGACTTCCGCTCAGGTCATGATCTCGCGGTTTGTGGGTGCGAGCCCTGCATCGGGCTCTGTGCTGACAGCTCAGAGCCTGGAGCCTGCTTCGGATTCTGTGTCTCCCTCTCTCTCTGACCCTCCCCTGCTCACGCTGTCTCTCGCTCTCAGAAATAAATAAAACATTAAAAAAAAAAAATTAAAATGTAACACTTTAAAAAAAAAAAAAAAGAAAGAAAAGAAAGGGGGAGTCTGAAGACCTGGGCTTTAGTGTACAAGCCGCCTGCCCGCTCTGGGCCACAGAGGCGGGGTCAGATCATCTCTCAGGTCCCCGTGGATTCGGAGTCTCTGCACTGGACGTCCCCTCTCGCCTGGCTCCGGCAGCGCCTGTGTCCCCCTCCCTCCAGCGCCGCCCTCGGCGATGACGGTACCTGTGGTACCTGCAGGCCTCAGTCCCGGCCGAGGGTCCGGGCAGTCTGAGCAAGCAGCGGCAAGGCCGGTCACCGAATCTCACGTTAGGACAGTCCCAAAACAGGTAAGGCAGAGCAAGTGCTCAGGGCCCGGGGAGCCCGGGGAGGGGAAGGACGGGCCCGCTCCCACCCGGCCCCTAATACCTTCACAAACTTCTGATACAGCAAGCTGGGCTTGGGACCATCATGTCGGAGCGTCTCCTTAGAAAGACGCCTTATCCGGACTCCATCCTGGGGGAGGGATCAGTGAGTGGGTGGCGTGGGCGCCCCCTCACCCCCACGCCTCCCAGACCCGCAAGGGCCACACGGCCATCTGTTCGCACTCATACCTGCCCAGTTTCCACCACCAAGCTGGATGCAGTCTTGTTGAAGAGCTCGGCCCACCAGTGGTCTGTGAACTCCTTGGCAGGGTCGTGTCCCACCTGCCAGAGGAACAAGTGTGAGCTCTGAGGCCCTGTCCCTGCCCCGTCCCCAGGGTCCCCCTCTCCCATCCCCACAGCCAAGTCTTACCCCATGAGTGTCCTGCTTCAGCGTCACCCTGAGGGCCTGGGTGATGCCATTCTCCTTCCGGCCCAGACCTTTGCCTGCAGGACGCGGAGCGACGTGGTTTATTCTGCCGCCTGCCCTGGGCCCCCACCGGGAGGGCCACCCTGCCTCCCACACTGAGCGCTGGGCACACTCCGTCCCTGGCTGACCCCCTCCAGTCCCACTCTTCCTGCCATTTCTGCACGCAGCGTCCCTGCCTGTGCGTTCCTTCGTGCTTCCTTCGGCACAGAGGCCACGCCCTCCCCCTCTCCCAGTCCTCCCCACCACTTCTTTCTCACGGACCCACTGCGAAATTTCTTCCACGCTTCCATTTTCTGGAAAAGCCAGAAATTTTCATCGTAAATTTCCCTTTAAACTAGCTCTTCCTTCTCCAGATGCACAGATTACAAATGGGTAGCCCCGGATGCCACCGCTCCCCTGGGCGGGTGGGCGGAGAGTTGGGGGCACGTGGAAGGGGCCCCATGGGGGTGACCTTGGGTCCATCCGTGCTTCAGCAGCTGTTCCTCAGCAAACTTCATCCCGCGGCTCTTGATCTCCGGTGTGACCCTCATGGTGAGAGGAGGGGCACCAAGTTCAGGCCCTCACCAGAGCAGTCGACATCATTCTCATCCCTTCAAAAGGAGAAAGGGCCCAAATCAGCAGCAAATCCATCCTGGCTACTCTCATAAAAATTCTTTTCCGAACCGGGGGCAGAGACGGAGGAAGGAGGCCCAGTCTTTAGGGAGTTCCCTGTCTGACCAGAGAGAGATCACCAACACGTTGAAAAGTCAAGGACTGGTGTTAATACCGGAATGTACAGAGCTCACCACACAATTATCTCATTTAAACTTCCCAGCCCAAGAAGAGTACTCTGATTTCGGAAAGGTATTATTCTCCCTACTTTAGAAATGAGGAAATGGAGGCCTAGGCCGGCTGGGTGACTCACTCCAGGGCACACAGCTGATGCGTGGAGAACGCACAGACATCTTGTCTGCAGAGCCCTGCGCTTCACCACTGCCTGCAACATCTCCCACGGTTTATCACCATGGAAAAACAAAGCTGAGGAGGGGCTTTTACCCTGAGTTATAAGAATACTTGGCAAAGGGGCGCCCCGGGGGGCTCAGTGGGTTGAGGGTCCAACTTCAGCTCAGGCCATGATCTCGCAGTTCATGGGTTCGAGCCCTCATGCGGCTCTGTGCTGACAGCTTGTAGCCTGAAGCCTGATTTGGATTCTGTATCTCCCACTTTTTCTGTCCCTTCCCCGGCTCGCTGTCTCTCAAAAAATAAAATAAATATTTAAAAAAAAAAGAATGATGACCGGTCTGGTTAGGTATGAAAACAAATTCAGGATGACTTCCATTTCTGTTCACATTCCTGCCATGAAGGACAATTACCTGAAAACCTGATACCCTGAGAATCCCGAGAGAAAAGCACCGAATGAAGAAATGGCTCTGTCTTGCTTCTTAGATTTCCAAGAAAAGTAAAAGTCAAACACTGGGGCTTTAAGACCACCTCAAAACTCTGCCTTCTCCCAGAAGTTCTCTCTGATGTATCAGCCCCTAATTTTAATAACAACATCTAACACTAACGCATTTACCTGATGCCAACGTGCTGCTAATTGCTTTACACAGATTATCTTATTTCATCCTCCCAAGAATCCTACTAGGAAGCGTTACCATCATCTGCAAGTGAAGAAATGGCACCGAGGAGTTAAGCTACTGCCCAAATCAGACGGAGGGCAAGTGCTGCATGTAGGACCTCAGGCGTCCCAGAGCCGGTGTTAATCCCCCTGGTCTCTTACTGCTCTTTGTGCTTCACCACAGCCTCTCCCTCGAGGCGGTAGTTCTGTTAGGGAACCAGGATGGACCGCTGGCCGAGAAGCCAAGCGGCACTCAGAGATCGTGGAGGGTCGGAGTTTTATTTCACACCGGCGGGCTCACAGGAGACAGTCTCTCCAAAAGTCTGAGCCCCGAGCGCAAGCGGGAAGGATAATTTATGGTGTTGTCTCTTTCGTATTCGTGGTAATTTCGCGCGCGGCAAAGAGAGCAGGAAGAACCCGGAAGAGGAGTCTCTAAGCTAGGGACTGGAGCTTCTGCGAGTCCCGAGGGCCATCTTACAGGGCCTAACTTTACTTATTTTCCCAACAGTTCAAAACCATACGCCCTAGAAATCGGAGTCGGACTTTGCTCTCCAACCCCAGGGCACTGAACGCGGCGCCCTGACGGAGAATGCGTCCGGTCGGCAGGACACAGGTGAGGGCTGCTCCGGCCGACTGGCCCTGGAGAACTGTGGACAGAAGCCGGTCCCAGGCTGCGAGCGCGCTTTCACGAACTACCTCCTCTCCGGTCAACCTGCGTTTTCTGGAAAAGTGGCCCCGGCCACTCTCCTGACAGCGGTTCCAAAGGGCCGCTCCCCTTTCCCTGGCCTCCTTCCTCGTGAGACCTAAATCCCAGCCCTCCCGCCGCGGTCCCACCGGGTAAAGCTACCCTCCTGCTCCATCTCTGCTCCCGAGCCCGGGCTCCAAGTGCCACCGTTGCGGAGGGCAGCAGCCCCTTACCGTCACCGCGGGGCCACTCCGCAGGAACATGTGCCGCCTCCGGCTAGTGCGCCGCCATCTTCCCGGAAGTGCCGTAAGCGGCCCCTCTAGGCTGCCGAAACCATAGAGACAATCACGGGCCCCGGAAGTCCAGGTCCTGGGAGGCTAGGGAGTGTTGCGGAGGCTCATTGGCCAGTATGGTTGCCATGGAAACTCGCCGACGCGCGCCAGCTTCCAGAGGTTCGGGGGTGTTCTCACCGCCAGCCTACAGCCCCGGAGCGGCCCAGGGACGTCTCCTAACTGGCCCTGGGGTCCCGGCAAGGACATGGGACAGGAGTCTCCGGGGAGCGCGCGAGGGTCGCCAGGGGGCCTCTCGGGGGCGGTCTCGGCGGGACAAATGCTCAGCTTGCGGGAACAGGCGTTTGGCGGTTTGAGTAGGCTCATCAAACGCTGTGCCAGGACCTGCCCCTTTGGTACTGCTGATGCCCTGACTCGGGGAGCCCCTGGCCTGGCCAGGGTCATTGACACCGTGAGTGGGGCTGGGGGCAGTGGGGGTGGGGCACGGAGCAGGACGCGGGCCCCGGCGTCCCGGAACGCGCGCCAGGCTGGGGGCTTGCACTTGCCTGGTAAATTTGAGGCTCCACTGAGCACACTTGGCAGTTAGCTCCACGTGGCTAACAAGCAAGAGAAGCTGCACACGCCCCCGTCCGCACCAACTGTACCTGAGCCTCGCCAAGCCCCCTACAGAACTAAAACCTGAAAAAAAGCCCCTCTTTGGCCTCCCTACATCCGTATTTAAGGTAACTTAAGCGTGCACCTCCCCCAGGAACCGCAAGAGAAAAACCGGCATTTCCCCGGAAAGGTTGTCTTAATTGCTCAGTTTGTCACACTCTTCTTCACCACATTTTCCCCGTAAAATTTACTTTTAAAATATGCTACATGTGGGGGCTGGGGGGCCTGGGTGGTTTCCTTGGTTAAACGTTGGACTCTTGGTTTCAGCTCAGGTCATGATGTGACAATTAGTGGGTTCAAGCCCCTATTGGGCTCTGCTGACAGTACAGAGCCTGCTTGGGATTCTCTGTCTCCCCTTCTCCCCCCCCCCCAAAAAAAACCATTTTTTTAAAAAAAAAACATGCTTCGTGGAGGGATGCCCGGGTGGCTCAGTCAGTTATGCCTCTGACTTGGGCTCAGGTCATGATCCCACTGTCTGTGGGCTCCAGCCCCGTCTCTGGCTCTGTGCTGACAGCTCAGAGCCTGGAGCCTGCTTTGGAATCTGTCTCCCTCTCTCTCTGCCCCTCCCCCACTTGTGCTCTGTCTCCCTCTCTCAAAAATAAATAAACATTTAAAAAATGCTACATGGGGACATTTGTTTAAACAGTGGATCTAAGTTAATGGAATTCTAGATGCTTGCCTGTGGGGTGTGATTGCTTCGAAGGTACGTTCAGTAAGGGAACCTTCTGTGAATGGGAGTCACTTCTGAGTCCTTTTTCTCTGCCACTCACTGTGGGACCTTGAACAAGTCACTTCTGCTCAAGAGCACCCTTTCCATGGTCTGGATAATTAGAATATTGGACTAGTTAAATCATCTTTACCAACTTGATTTTATTGTGATCTCTCAGGGCCACTGAGAGGAATCCCCAGACCAGGCTTCAATTTCCACTACCTCCTCCTCCATCACGTCTCTCCCCTCTCCCTATCCAATGTCCTGTATCATTGTGGTGATAAAAGAGGCTTGAAAACTCCAGAATGACGCAACCTCAGGGGCCCTTCCCAGCTCACAATACTCCGTGGGTCAGTCTAAAAACCGAGTGACACTAATTCTCTGACTCAGGGCTCCTATTCTGGTCTAGGGCCTTGGGCTCCTTGTTCTTCCAGACTCACTTATTCAATAAACATTTATTAAGGGTCTTCTTTTTTTAAATATTTTAGATTACTTTTTAGTTTATTTATTTTGAGAAAGAGAGCATGGGAGGGGCAGAGAGAGAGAGAGAGAGAGAATCCCAAGCCGGCTCTACACTGTCAGCACAGAACCCAATGCAGGGCTCAAACTCACTAACCTTGAGATCATGACCTGAGACGAAATCAAGATTTGGATGCTCAACTGACGGAGCCACCCAGGTGCCCCATTAAGGGCCTTCTATAGACCAAGGGCTGGAGGTATAAAAGCGTCCAGCCCTGTCCTGTTGGGCGTCGCATCTTGTTGAGCTATAGCAGGTTGCAGGCATTTATATCACTGAGGCACCAGAGCTCTGGCAAGGTTAGGACGCAGTCCTGGGATGGGGGTGGGGAGTAAGATAGAAGCACCTGCCTGTATTCCGGGCCCCCAGGAGGAGCTTTCCAAAGGAGCCCCTGAATGTGCAGGCCTGGGCCTGGGGAGTGTGTGGGATCGCACGGGAAAGGGGCCTCAGGGAGTGCCAAGCTAGGTGGAGTCTCATGCCTCCTCACAAGAGGGGAAATAAAGGCTGTTGGAACAGGAATCCACGAGGACTTATGAGGAAATAATCTGACACACAGAAATCTCACGGTACATAGAAACAGTACAGTAATGTTAAAACATGGAAATCCAAGGACCCCAGAGTAGCCAAAACATTCTTGAGAAAGAACAAAGTGGAAGGAATGGTGCTTTGCTGTTTCAAAATTTGCTACAAAGCTACAGTAATCAAGAGAGTGGTTCTGGTATAGGATGGACGGACAGGGCAGTGGGAGAGAATTCAGAGTCCAGGAATAAACCCATACATTTACGGACAATTAATTTGCAACAAGAATGCCAGGACAGGGTGCCTGGGGGGCTCAGTCGGCTGAGCGTCCGACTTCGGCTCAGGTCATGATTTCTCAGTCCGTGGGTTCGAGTCCTGTGTCGGCTCAGAGCCTGGAGCCTGGATTCTGTGTCTCCCTCTCTGTCTCTGTACCCCCCCCCCCAGCTCACTCTCTGTCTCTGTCTCAAAATAAAATAAAGACATAAAAAAAAAAAGAATGCTAGGGCAATTCAATGGGGAGAGAATAGTCTTTTCGATAATGGTGAAGAAACAACTGGATAACTAGATGTAAAAGAAAGAAAGAAAGAAAAGAAAGAAAAAGAAAGAAAGAAAGAAAGAAAGAAAGAAAGAAAGAAAGAAAGAAAAGAAAGAAAGAAAAGAAAGAAAGAAGGAAAGAGAAAGAAAGGGAAAAAAAAGAAAAGAAAAGAAAGGATTTGGACTCTTCCCTCACATCATGCAAAAACTAACTCCAAATGAATCAGAGAACTCATGCAGGAGTGAAATCTCTAAAGCTCTTTTTTTGTTGTTAAAAAATGTTTAAGTTTGTTTATTTACTTTGAGAGAGACACAGAGAGAACACCAGCAAGGGAGGGGCAGGGGTGGGGGGAGAGGATCCAAAGCAGGCTCTCTGCTGACAGGGGCTTGAACTCACAAACCGCGAGATCATGGCCTAAGCCAAAGTCAGACGCTTAAGCAACTGAGCCACCCAGGGGCCCCTCTCTAAATCTCTTAAAATTAAAACTTCTGTGGTCCAAAGGACACTATAAGGAAATTCCAGAGACCATCCACAGAATGGGAGAAAATGTTTGCAAATCATGTATCGGATAAGGTTCTAACATCCAGAATATATGAAGAGCTCTTACCACTCAACAATAAAAAGACAACGGAATTTTAAAATGGACAGAGGATCTGAATACACATTCCTCCAAAGATGATCTACAGATGGCAAATAAGCTCATGAAAAGACGCCCAACATTATTAGTCATCAGGGAAATGCAAATGAAAACCATAGTGGCAAACCATCTCACGCCCCCTGAGATAACTGTGATTTTTTTTTTAAAGGTAACAACATGGAGAGGATGTGGAAACATTGAAGCCCTCATGTACTGCTGGTGGGGATGTAAAATGGGGCAGCTGCCATGGAAAACAGTTTGAAAGTTCCTGAGAAAGTTAGACACAGAGTCAGCGTAGGACACAGCCGTGCCACATCTGGGTGTGCGCCCAGAGAGAAGTGAACACCTATGTCTCTGGGAGAACTTGCCTATGAATGTTAATAGAAGCATCATTATCATATCCAGAAGGTGGAAACAGCCCAAATATCTATCAACTGCTGGATGGATAAACGAAACATGGTCGGCGCACCCCATGGAATATCACGTGGCCGTCAAAAGGAGTGAAGGGCTGGCACACGCCGCAGGGTGGAGAAACCTTGGCAACGTGCCAGGGGAAAGAGCCCAGAGACGAAGGCCCCCCGCTGTGTGGTTCTGGCCACACGCGGTGTCGGGAACACGCAAATCTGTAACACGAGTCAGCGTGGGAGAGGGCGATGGATACCAATATGGTATAGGGCTTCCTTGTAGATGGGTGGACTGTTCTGGAATTTGATAGCGGTGGCAGTTAAGCCCGTGAATATCCTAAAAACAACTGGATTGTATTTTACAGGATGTAAAATTATGCCTTTAGAAAACGCACAGGCTCGCTAGAACACGGGAAGAACGCTAACATTTAAAAGCAGTCGTTCCCAGGTAAAGGGATTACGGGTAAGCGTTTCCTCCTCTTTGCACCTTTTCCCAGAATTTCAAATTTTCTGCAGTCAGCATATATTATTTTATTGGAAAATAATTTTAAAACAGCAAATGGGGACAGCTCAGAGTTAGTGCTGGGGGATTTGACACAGAGAAGAAGAGAAACGTGATCGGCAATAGACCAGGACGAAGTGGGCGTGGTCCGGGGATGACCAACTTGAATTCCTTTCTGTGTTTCCAGCTAAATCCTCAAGGTACTGGGTTAACTTTCTGTACTGCATTTAAAGCCGAAGGCTCGTGACCTCCTGAGTCACTTCTCTTCCTCCAGCTCTTGTCACTCTTTCTCTTCCTGCTGATAAAACCCGAAACCGGGGCGCCTGGGTGGTTCAGCCGGTTAAGCATCCAGCTCCTGGTTTCGGCTCAGGCCATGATCGCAGGGTTCGTGTGCAGAACCTGCTTGGGATTCTCTCTCTCCTCCTCCCTGTGCTGCTCCCCGGCTGGCATTCTTGCTCTCTCTCAAAAATAAATAAATAGGGGCGCCTGGGTGGCTCAGTCGGTTAAGCATCCGACTTCAGCTCGGGTCATGATCTCACGGTTTGTGGGTTTGAGCCCCATGTCGGGCTCTGGGCTGACAGCTCAGAGCCTGCAGCCTGCTTGGGATTCTGTGTCTCCCCCTCTCTCTGCCCCCTCCCTTGCTCACACTCTGTCTCTCAAATATAAATAAACGTTAAAAATTTAAAAATAAATAAATACATAAATAGGGGCGCCTGGGTGGCTCAGTCGGTTAAACATCCGACTTCAGCTCGGGTCATGATCTCACGGTTTGTGGGTTCCAGCCCCGCGTCAGGCTCTGTGCTGACAGCTTGGAACCTGGAGCCTGCTTCTAATTCTGTGTCGCCCTCTCTCTGCTTCTCCTCTGCTCATGCTCTGTCTCTCTCTGTCTCAAAAATAAACATTAGAGGGGCGCCTGGGTGGCTTAGTCGGTTAAGCGTCCGACTTTCGCTTAGGTCATGATCTCGCGGTTCGTGGGTTCGAGCCCCGCGTCGGGCTCTGTGCTGACAGCTCAGAGCCTGGAGCCTGTTTCAGAGTCTGTATCTCCCTCTCTGTCTGACCCTCCCCTGCTCACGCTGTCTCTCTCTCTCTCTCCCCTAGAAATAAAACATTAAAAAAATAATAATAAACATTAGAAAAAATTAAAATAAATGAAAAAACAAATTAAAAAAAAAAAAGAAACCCGAGACTGAACTCAGACAAAATAGCTTGTGGTCACAAGTAAAATGTGGGGTTTTGAAAAGCCCGTAACACAAGCACTGGCAATGTTTACAGAACAGGCTCTATTTACTTTTCTTTCCAGGCAGAAAAGAAGGTGCCCTGCTCTCACGGACTTTTCCTTGGACCAATACGACTTCCTCGTCCCCCACCTAGGCAGTCTCTCATTTTTCTACCCCACCGACCGAGCTCGTGACAACCTCTGCGGACACTGCTTTGCTATTAAAAACAAATGGGTTTTATCTGTAATGGTGGTTTACAGTTTAAAATGCCACTTTGACAAACATTGTCACATTTGATCCCGGCCATGACCCTGCGTCGATGCAGCTGTCGCCATTTACAGGCGCGTCCTCGGAGGGCCAGAGGCGCCCAGATCGGGGACGGAAAGAGGCCCGGGGTCTTGGGGACACACGGAGGTGACGTCCTCACACCCCACAGAGAGACGGAAGTGCAGAGAGTGGGAGGGAGCGGTCCTGAGTGGAAAACATGCCTTTTCCTGAAGACTGACTTCCCCAGCCTCCCCTCCCCGCCCCAACACACACGCAGGGACTCGGGGATCCAGCCCCGCAGGAGGCCTCGCCTGGGCCTGGGGCTTGCAGGGTGGAGGCGGGACACAGCTGTGCGTGAACCTCGCTGGGGAGGGGAGGGGGTCCTGTCAGTCACCCACCGAGCCTCTCCCTGCAGCCCCTAAGGGCCCCCTTGCCAACTCTCCTGTCCCTCATGCAGCAGGAAAGGGGACCTGCTTGCAGGAAGCTGGGCCGCCCGCGGCCTGAAGCCGGCTGGGTCTGGTCTTCGAGGAGGAGAAGTCAGGGCTGGCGCCGCCGCCTCCCCGCGCCTGCTCGGTCCGCGGCCGCGCGTGGCAAAGGCCGCGCAGAAGAGGCAGCCCAGCAGCCAACCCTCCTGGTCTGCGGCGTGGCTGGAGGGCAGGGGGTGACAGGGCCTCGGGCAAACGGAGCGCCCTGTGGCTGGTCACCGCACGTGCCTCCCCGGGCCGTCCCTGCCCCAGCCCCATCCTCGAAGCCCTCCTTCTGCCTCCAGCGAATAGCCCGGGCTCTCCTCCCTGCCGGCCCTGCTGGCCCCCCACACCGGAGACTCGCAGACCACGGTCCAGAAGCGACCTGGCGAGAAGGGAGGGCGGCGGGCCGGGCTGCTGGCCGAGCCGCGGGGGCCCCCTCCTCGCCCCCCTCCTCCCCTGCGGGAGGCTGTTTGTCTGAGTTGGGTGGAGGCCAATCAGATGCGCGGATCCCGCTGTCCTGGGCCTGAGACAGGGCCTGTTTGTCTTCTTCGCCTGCGAGGAGGAGGGAAGGGCCGGGGCGGTGGTGGTGCTGGAGGATGGGGGCCGCTGTCCCTCCGAGCCCCCCGAAGGGGGCAGGTGGCGCGGGCTCCGGGTTATGAGATGCGGCCCCAGCCGAGAGCCCTGCAGCTCGCTGGCGTGGAGAATCCGGGAGAAGCTCGGAGAGGGATGAGCGGAAACAGCGGCAAGTTCCAGGCTCCAGAGCCGCCTTCCGTGTGGGCTTGGGCAAGGCCCTCTCTCCCCAGCTTCTCTTGCTCAATGACAGAAGAAGGTGGGCGCCCTGAGGTCCCGTCCGCTTCCAAAAAGCACACGATCCCAATAAGGCAAAGCTACTGATGTGGGGCTGCTGGGCAGACAGAAGGCTAAGAGGGGACTGGAAGCTGAAACCACTGTCCCCAAATGGCTATTTCTGGAGAGAGTCGTCCCCCCCCCCCCGCCCCCAGCACTGACGGCAAACAAAAAAGAAACAGGCTTATCCTGTGTGTTGAAATGTTCTATAGGCTGATCCGGAGGTTAGTTCCGTGGTGAGAAGACTTGTAAGTGTATCGAGGCGCCCACTGAAGTTCTCTGTTCCTGGTCTTATGTAAACCTGGACAGAAGGGTCTGGACCCTGAGTGTGAACGCCCGCACGAGCTCAGACTCCAGGGGGCCTGTGCACAAGAGTACTTCCACCCAGGGGCGCCTGGGTGGCTTAGTCGGTTAAACGTCCGACTTTAGCTTAGGTCATGATCTCGCGGTTCGTGGGTTCGAGCCCCGCGTCGGGCTCTGTGCTGACAGCTCGGAGCCTGGAGCCTGTTTCAGTCTGTGACTCCCTCTCTCTCTGACCCTCCCCTGCTCACGCAGTCTCTCTCTCTCTCTCTCCTAGAAATAAATAAAAATATTAAAAAAAAAAGTATTTCCACCCAGGGAGGTCAAGGACCCCCTCTCTGGAGAATGTACTCTAGGAGGAGCTGGGACAAATAAGCTGACCCCTCTTTTGTTCCAAAGTCCTTCTCAGAAACTTCCATTGTCCCCTCGGGTGCAGAAAGCCCTCCCCCCAGCCTCCCAGTGCTGCTCCAACCACGTGTTCTGCCCTCCACGGAGCCCGGCCACCCCGGGCCTCACACCGAATCTCTCCCGAGGCTCCAAGCTTGGTATGGACGGGGCCCCATTTCAACCTTCGCACCAACCGCTCTCCCCGCGCCCCCTCTGTTCCCTGGGGATGTCCAGTCCTGTCCTGAGCCTGTCCCTACCCCGGCTCTTTTTCCGGTGCCGTGTGCCAGCCGGTTCCGCATCCCACATCCCCAGCTGTTGACATTTCGTTGCCCTTGCCCACAGGATAAAGAAAGGGCCCCTGTTATTCAACAATAGGGAGAAAGACAGAGACAATGGGAACTTGTGCTTCCGATGGGGTGGGGACGGAGCGGGAAAGGAGAGACAGACGGACAGACAGGGGGCTGGACAGAAGGGGTCAGGTTTCTTGAAGCAGCTGGAGGTCCTGGAAGTCTGGATCCCACCTTGAGAGCCCACAGGCAATGTGCACCCAGGCTCCGGAGAACAGAGGTGAGGGCTGGTGGGGCGAGGAGAGGGTGCTGTTTGGAGGAGGCCCACGTGGAAAACCGGAGACAGCGGGGGCTTGACCGCAGGTCTCTGAGCTCCCCGGTAGCTCATCCGCACACCCCGCGCCCAGCATCTCCATACCCATCAGGCAGTCTGCTCCTTCTCTGGTCCAAGAGCTTCAAGAAGAGACGAGGCACCACATCCTCCACGTTCTTTCAGGTAACCCTTCCTGGGGGCCCCCTTTATTTACTCCATCCCTTTTGGGGGCCGGGGCCCCCACCCCTGGCCCCCAGCCCCGCATCTTCCCCAGGCTCAGGACAGCAAGCAGTGCAGATACGGTGCCAGGTCCTGGGCGGGACACTGGTCACTTAGCCTGGCTTAGTGGAGTGGCAGGTGACGAGTTCTCGCACCTTGGCTGCTTCTGTGAGCTCAGGGCAGGAGCCTTTCAAAGGTGCAAAAGGAGGGGCCCCGCCGATCAGGTGCCCAAGTCCCGGGCCCCTAATGTGCTTGGATCTCGCAGGGGCCCTGGCGACTCCTTCACTGGAACCTCTTCTGGGACAAGACGCTGCCAGCCACTGTCGCGCCCGCCCCTGTGAAGACACCGGCTTCTACCAGGTGGGCGTGGGGGCTGTTGGCTCTCTGTCGGGGCTACGCACGGGATGTGTGTGTGACTGCTTTCAAATACAGAAGTGCAGACCAGTGAACTTGAGCCTGACCTCAACTCCGGGTTCAAGTCCCAGCAAACCCTCCTCTTACCAGCTGTGCGACCTCACTCAAGTCTCCTATGATTTGGGCGCCGTCGTCTGAGCACGCGTAAAAGGGGATGCGTACTCCTTCCCCCTCACGATGGGGGAGCAGTGAATACCAGGCACACGAGTGAAGGGCTTTCACGCAGATGCCCGGCCGGCTGCCCACCCGCCCTCTGCCCGCGCGGCCCCCTGCCCTGGGCGGGCGTCCCTGGCGCACGCCCTCGCCTGCCGGAGCCCAGCCCCCGCTTCTCCTGCGCCCTGGGGAGAAATGGTCCCTTATCTGCAGGTGGGGGGACTCAGCTCCTGCGGTTTCCTGTCCTTCCCAGAATCCTCCCTGTGGGCTCGTTCACTCACACACACACACTGATCCACTGATGAGGACCTTGAGGCAGAAAGGAGTTAAATAACTCGTTCAAAGTCATGCAATTAGCACCTGGAGGAATCAGATTTAGAAAATGAGGGGCGCCTGGGGGGCTCAGTCGGCTAAGCTTCCGACTTCGGCTCAGGTCGGGATCTCATGGTTCATGGGTTCAAGCTCCGCGTTGGGCTCTGTGCTGAAAGCACGGAGCCTGAAGCCTGCTTCGGATCCAGGTTTACCTTATTTATTTCTCCCTCCCCTCTCTGCACCTCCCCCACTCGCATGCAAGCTGTCTTTCTCAAAACTAAACATTAAAAAAATAAAAACAAAGAAAATGAGTAAAGCTAGGTTAAGGAGTCCTCGGTCCCATTTTTAAAAAATGGTCAAGGTGATAAAGAACAGATAGAATAAGGCCGGGGGAGGGGGAATTGGGGCGCCTTTTGGCTAAGTTGCAGAGCCCTGATGCTTGATCTTAGGGTTGTGAGTTCTAGCCCCATGTTGGGTGTGGAGCCTACTAAATAAATAAATTTTTTTTAAAGAAGGGGAAAATCAACTATTGAAATAGACAATGGTGTTTGGAATTAGTTTTTACAATTTTTTTTTTTTTCTGAGAGAGAGAGAGAGACAGTGTGAGCAGGGAAGGGTCAGAGAGAGAGGGAGATGCAGAATCTGAAACAGGCTCCAGGCTCTGAGCTGTCAGCACAGAGCCTGACGTGGGGCTTGAACCCACGAACCGTGAGATCATGACCTGAGCCAAAGTCTGACGCTTAACCGACTGAGCCACTCAGGAGCCCCTAGTTTTATAATTTTATAATTACTGGAAACCTCACTGATATGGTCTACATGCGCATATGTATTAAAATTCACACTGTTAATTCAGCTGCTAATCAAAGTACTTCCCAGAACGAGTGGCCAGTGCAGTAGATCACAGTGCACCACCGCGCGGCTGGCGGGGGGAGAGGAAGGTTTTCCCAGAGGCGGGGAGGCCCACAGTGATGCCTGGGAGGCCTAGGTGACAGTGAACTTGGACTCCTTGGAGCCAGAAGTGCATCGTCTTGCAGAGGGCACAGCAGGGGGGGTGGGAGGCGCCGGTGAAGGGCCGGCGAGAGGCTGGATCCCAGAGGGCCTTGGAAGCCTCGGGTAGACACCAGACTTTAGCCTCAGGGCAAAGGGAGCAACTGCTTTAAGCAGGAAGGTGACAAGATTGCGTTCACTCTGGCTCTGCTGGCAGGTAGAGCTGAGAGACAGACTGCGGCAACCTGGTCACAGCAGGTCACCCAGGACTCGTGAAGGCGCAGCCACTGTGACTAGAGGGGGTGGGGAGGCCGTGCCAAATCTGGCCCTGCTGTCTGAGAGGAGCGCCCAGCAGGCGGGGGGAAGGGAGCTGGTTACTGCCCCTTCTCCGGGCACCTTTTGGCCCCAGCAGCCCCCTTCTCTGCCCCGACGCCTTCCAGCTGGACAGTCCCCTCTGAGGGACCCCTGATGGATGGGAGTTCATCCCCGACCCCACACCCTCCCCGCTCTGTGCCCCGCAGACGGCGCTGGGCTGACTCCCCACCATGCCAGGCCCGCTCAGTCTCTGCCGCCTCCTTCTCCCCTGGGCCCTCACCATCTTCCACAGAGCGCTGGGCGACCTAGGTAAGGCCTCAGCCCCGCCCAGAATCTGGGGAAGGTCGGGGAGAGGCCCCTGGGTGGGGCTGTTGGAGGGGTCAGGGAGTGAGAGCCTTTGCTGGGTGTGCCTCGGAGCAGAGGGTTGGGGGGCTCTGGGGAGCAGGGTCTGGCTGGGCGCCTGCAGTGGGGGCCAGGGGGTTCCTGCCACTGTGGCCCCCTCTGCTCAGCACCCCACCCTGGCCCCCACTACCTCCTGCCCCCCATCCACGAGGTCATTCACTCTCGTCGTGGGGCCACGGCCACGCTGCCCTGCGTCCTGGGCGCCCCGCCCCCCAGCTACAAGGTCCGCTGGAGCAAAGTGGAGCCGGGGGAGCTGCGGGAAACGCTGATCCTCATCACCAACGGCCTGCACGCCCGGGGCTACGGGCCCCTGGGAGGCCGCGCCCGGATGCGGCGGGGGCATCGGCTGGACGCCTCCCTGCTCATCGCGGGCGTGCGCCTGGAGGACGAGGGCAGGTACCGCTGTGAACTCGTCAACGGCATCGAGGACGAGAGCGTGGCGCTGACCCTGCGCCTGGAGGGTGAGGCCTTTGGGCTCGCGCCCCCTCCCCCCTGCGGGGCCTTGGCCACCCCGGCTCGGTCTCCCGGGCCTCCCCACCCCCCGCCCGCCCCCGGCCCCCCGCCCCGTCTGCCGGCCCCGCTCAGGCTGCCCGCCTCCCGCTAGGTGTGGTGTTTCCGTACCAGCCCAGCCGCGGCCGGTACCAGTTCAATTACTACGAGGCGAAACAGGCGTGCGAGGAGCAGGACGGGCGCCTGGCCACCTCGGCCCAGCTGTACCAGGGTGAGCGCGCGCCCTGGGCGCCGCCTGCGCCTCTCGGCCGCGCGAGGGAGAGCCCGCGGCGGGCTGCTGCCGCGACCCCTCTAACCCCGCCCGCGTCTCCCCCCGCCCGCCAGCGTGGACGGAGGGCCTGGACTGGTGCAACGCGGGCTGGCTGCTCGAGGGCGCCGTGCGCTACCCGGTGCTCACAGCGCGCGCCCCGTGCGGTGGCCCCGGGCGGCCGGGGATCCGCAGCTACGGGCCCCGCGACCGGAAGCGCGACCGCTACGACGCCTTCTGCTTCACTTCGGTGACTGCGGGTGAGAGCGCGGAGCGGCGCGCGCGCGGGGACCCGGGGTGGGGACCCGGGGCGGGGTCCCGGGGCGGGGTCCCGGGGCGGGGACCTGGGCCGGGGACCTGGGCCGGGGTCCCGGGGCGGGGTCCCGGGGTGGGGACCTGGGGCGGGGTCTGGCGCTCCCCGCTCGGCGCGAGGTGCGGGCGGCGGGCGGGGTCCCCTGCGTCACTGCGCCGGCCGGGCCGGGGGTGACGCGCCCCGCCCCCCAGGCCGCGTGTTCTTCGTGCCCGGGCGGCTGACGCTGTCGGAAGCGCACGCGGCGTGCCGGCGGCGCGGGGCCACGGTGGCCAAGGTCGGGCACCTCTACGCCGCCTGGAAGTTCTCGGGGCTGGACCAGTGCGACGGCGGCTGGCTGGCGGACGGCAGCGTGCGCTTCCCCATCACGTCGCCGCGGCCGCGCTGCGGGGGCCTCCCCGACCCCGGCGTGCGCAGCTTCGGCTTCCCGCGGGCGCAGCAGGCGGCCTTCGGCGCCTACTGCTACTCGGAGTAGGGTCGCCGCGGACCCCGTCCCGCAGCCTGCCAGGTCGGGGTCCCGGCGGGCCGGGCGGGGGAGGGGAGGTGGCGGCGCCCCGCGGGCACCTTCCCTCGGACGCGCGGCCGTTCGCGCGCTCCCGCGGCCACTGCTGGGGGCGGGCGGGCGCCCGGGGCCTTGAGCCACTTCTGTGCACAGCAGTTAAGTAACTCGGGGGCTTTGTGTGTCGATGCGGGGGGCAGGGGTGGCCTTGGGTCCAACCGGCCGACCACGCTCCTGGGGGAGACAGGCAGAGGCGGGGGCCCGTGCCGCTGGGAGCGAGACTGCCGGACGGCGGGGGTCGCGAGGAGGGGGCCCCAAAGGCCGAGGGGACTGCGGGCACGGCGGGCGGCGGAGCCGGGAACGACGCGGGAGAAGGCGGGGTGCTGTTGCGCCGGGCGCCACGCGGGGGCGCCACGCACCCACCGGAGACTGCTGTTCAGATCGGCCCGGCGCTCCGGAGCCGCAGGCCTGCCCGCTGGGCACCAGGGAACGAGCAGACGAGCCCGCACAGCCTTACAGTGTGTTTGTATCCTGCCAGGCCCCTACCCTGGGTGCAGCTGGCGGGAAGCTGACCCCCGCCGGGCCGAGCCCTGAGGGCATCGTGCGCCCAGCAGCCCCGGGGCGAAGGGGGAGCCTTTTTTAACCTCCGGCTGCAGGAAACAGACCAGTAGCTCAAGAGACAAGCTCAACTGTCATTAATTCGTTTTTCTGTAATATATTCTTTTAATTAATTGACTAATTAGTTTGGTTATTCATTTTACTGTCCAAGCGATCTAACTGCACAACAAGCTTGGGCTAGTGACTAACGACTAACGACGGGAGCAAAGGGCGTGAACTTTCTCATGGTGCTTGATACACATGTTGTAAAATTGCTTTCCGAGAGGGCTCTTGGCTATAAGTGTTAAAGAGAATTCATCCCATAGGATTTTATGTAAAGGACAGAGGATGATCAAATGAATGGTGTCTTCAATGACTCTCATACCGCAAGTGGAATATTTGTGGCAGGTTCTAAGCTTTGCTTTTCTGATCTCGGTCATGGGAAAAGAGTATCTGATCCGTACTTGAGACGCCCAGTAAGTGGTACCTGCAATAATGAACGATTATGACTGTGAGAATTCTAACAGTAACAGAACAAGCACAGTAACTATTCAGGTTCTTACCAGGTTGCCTGGAGGACTGGTTGCTGCATGGCGCTGTGTTCACCAGGATGAGCTCAGTTATGCTGTGATGACAGACGACCTCCGAGTATCAGTGGCTTCAAACAAGACCATTTCTCCCTTAGGCTCCCTGTGCCTGGGGGCCACCAAGGAGGCTCTTCTCATTTTCTTATTCAGGGACCTGGGCTGCTAGATCAGCTGCCATCTCAGACGCTGCCAATCACCACACCAGAAGGAAAATATAAAAAGAGTCTTACACTCTGGAGAGTCTTACACTCCCAGTTAACAGCTGCCGCCCAGAGAGAGACCCCTGTGCCTTTCTGTTCACAGCTGTGTGTCTAGAACTAGTTACAGACCTCGCTCAACCACAAGGGGGCAGGAAAGAGCAACCCTACTGGGGCCTAGAAGGAAAATTGCAACTAATTGTACCAGCACAGGCCGCAGCCCCACCCAAGCACAAGGAGGCCGCCGAGATTCTGGAACATGCTAGCAGTCACCCAGTCTTCCACGGCCTGTCATGGAGTCAGAGCCCCAGAAAGCCAAGATGCTGGGCCCAGCAGCTTCCCTGAAGGAAGACGGCTCTTCTGCTAATGATGCCTTCAGCCTTTGTCAAGACCCCACATGAGAAATGGTCACAGCAGCTTCCATTCGACCGCTTTGTTCTTTTCCACGAGGAAAACACACGGCTACTCGTTTCTACAACTACTCTCCACACTGCCACACTTACTTTTTTTTTTTTGAGAACTTCAAAGGTGCACAAAAATAGGGAGAATGATGGACCCCTTCATCATCGGGCTTGACCATTCCCAAAGTCTGCCTTTCATGTTCCATGAATTCCCTCCCTTGTGTTCATTTCTGCTGGAGTATTACAAAGCAAATCTCAGACAGCCTATTATTTCACCTGTCCGTGTTCACTGTGTATTTCTAACATATAATGACTTTTAAAAATAATCATAATTGGGGCACCTGGGTGGTTCGGTTAGTGAAGCGTCCGACTTCGGCTCAGGTCATGATCTCAGGGCTCGTGGGTTCAAGCTCGATATTGGGCTCTGTGCTGACAGCTCGGAGCCTGGAGCCTACTTTGGATTCTGTGTCTCCCTCTCTCTCTGCCCCTCCCCTGCTCATACTCTGTCTCTCTCTCTCTCTTTCAAAAATAAACATTAAAAAAGATAAATAACCATAATTCCATGATCACCCTCTACCCCCCAAATTGATGTTATCTAATATAGGTTTCATGATCAATTTCCCATGAATGTCTAAAAAATATAATTTTATAGTTGATTTGTCCAAACCAGGAGCCAAGTAAGGTCTAAACATTGCATGTGATTAAGTTTTCTCGGTTAATTTTTTAAAAATATCTTTTAAACGGTAACACTTCCTCCTTCATTTCTCCTGTTCAATTTTGTTTGTTTGTTTAAAAGGAACTGGGTTAGGGGCGCCTGGGTGGCTTAGTCAGTTAAGTGTCCGACTTTCGCTTAGGTCATGATCTCGCGGTTCGTGTGTTCGAGTCCCGCGTTGGGCTCTGTGCTGACTGCCAGCTCAGAGCCTGGAGCCTGTTTCAGAGTCCGTGACTCCCTCTCTCTGACCCTCCCCTGCTCACGCTGTCTCTCTCTCTCTCTCCTAGAAATAAATAAAAATATTTTAAAAATAATAATAAAATAAAAGGAACTGGGTTGTTTCCCTGTCACATGTTTCCCATGTTCTAGATTCGGCTGAGTGTGTCCCTGTGTGGCACGTGGTCCTACGTCCACTGTAATGATATTTAGAAGTTTGATTAAACATACATTCATTTTTTAGGGACACCTGGGTGGCCCAGTTAGTTGAATGTATGACTCTTGGTTCTGACTCAGGTCATGATCTCACGGTTTCGTAGGTTTGGGCCCACGTGGGGGGCTCTGAGCTGACAGTGCGGAGCCTGCTTGGGATCCTCTCTCCCTCTCTCTCTGCCCCTTTCCCCACTTGCGCTGTCTCTGTCTCTCTCAAATAAACAAAATATACTTTAAAAATATTTAAACATACATTCGCTTTTTTCCCGGGAATATTTCGTAAGTAGTGCCGTGTATCCCATAGGGAGGCACGCGGTGGCTGCTGGTGGGTCCGGGGTTGATCGGGAAGTTCCGGTACTATCGGCCTGGTCCGTTCCTGATGAGGCCCCTGGTTGTGGTAGCTGCCTGCGACCGCTGTTACAGCGCACCACAAACGTGGTGGCTTTAGACCACAGAAACGTATCCTTTTTTCTTTTTTTCTTTGTAATATTTATTTTGAGATAAAGAGAGTATGTGCAGGGGAGGGAGGGGCAGAGAGGGAGAGAAGGAGACACAGAATCCGAAGCAGGCTCCAGGCTCTGAGCAAACGTGCAGCACAGAGCCTGATGTGGGGCTCGAACCCATGTACCGTGAGATGATGACCTGAGCCAAGATGGAGTCAGATGCTTAATGGTCTGAGCCCCCCAGCCCCCCCCCGGGGTGTGTTCCCATGGGCCTGGAGGCGGGGCATCCACCCCCCAGGGCGATGGCAGCATCCCCCACCCTCTGCAGACTCAGAGTTTTCTTGCTCGTCGTCGTCTCCTGGTGGCAGGTGGCACTCGCTGGGTTCTCCGGCTGCATTTTGCTCCAGCCTCTGCCTCTGAGGTCTCGCTGCCTCATCTGCAAGTGTCTGTGTCCCTCTCGGTCTGTCTCTCGTGAGGACCCTCGTCACCGGCTTTGCCCCACCTGCTAATCCAGGACGATCTCATCTCAAAACCGTTCACTGAATTTCGGGAACAAATTCATGTAATGAGTTACAGCCACGCAGACCCTTCTTGCAAACAAGTTAACATTCCCGGGGCTTCAGGGATTAGGATGCGGACGTACCTTTTCGTGGCCCCCATGCAGCCCATGGCCTTCGGATCTAATGGCTACTGAAGACCGTTGTCTAGATCCAATACTTTGTTAGGAGCCCCAAACGGAGACCTTCTAATTGTGTCATTTCTCCTTCTTTATTATTAGCCGTGAACTGTCTCTAAAGAAAAATTTCTCTCGTCGGTTATGGTTACCCTGGCTCAGACCCCACTCAGAGAAGGTGGGATTAATGCTTCGCTCTTCTCTGTTTGTCTGAGACAGACGCGACGGAATGAATGCTTGCGTCCCCTCCCCAACTCGAATGTTAAAACCCGATTCCCTGAGGTGATGGTTTTGGACATGGTGGGCGCCTTTGGGGGGTAATCCCATGATGAAGTTAGTGCCCTTAGCAGGGAGGTTTAGGACTGCTTGCTTCTCTCCCACCCCCCTACCCCGCCACGTGCGAAAACAATGCCAAGGCAGCCATCGGCAGAGGGGCTGTCCCAGATGCCAGATCCGCTGGCCTCCAGGAATAAATGTTTGCTGTTGAAACCATCCAGTCTGTGGTGACTTGTTTATTTTATGTTTTTATTTTAGAGAGAGAGCATGACTGGGGGGAGGGGCAGAGGGAGAGAGAGACAGAATCCTGAGCAGGCTCCACGCTCAGTGTGGAGCCTGAGACGGGACTTGATCCCACAAACCTGGGATCATGGCCTGAGCTGAAATCAAGAGTCAGACGCTCAAGCAGCTGAGCCACCCAGGGGTCCTGTGGTCACTTGTTACAGCAGCCTGAACTAAGACCGAGGGGCTTCCAAAGCCAGATGCTGAGTCAAGGTCAAGGCTTTGAGTAGCAGTTTTGGGGGAGGAGGGGGGCAGATGGTCAGAACTGGGGAGGAGAGGGGAGGGGGGAAGCAGGTGGAGGCTGTGAAGCAGAGCAGGGCAGACGCAGCAGGGTCACCTGCCCGTCAGAAGTGGAGGGCTGCTTCCGGGAGCCCTGCCCCATCGCACTCCCGGCGAGCCCGGAACGGAGCAGCTTCTGGCTGTGGAGAGGACAGCGGAGGCTCAGGTCACAGCCTCAGTCCACCCTGGGTCCCCATGTTCGCGCCTCTCCCAGGTGGTGGCTGGTCGCGATGTCTAAATCTGGGAAAGAAAGACATGGCAGGAGGGTAAGCGGGGCAACTCGGAGAAGCCGTGGCTGACGTCGGCTCCGGGGCCGGACCAGTGTCCCCCTCGCCTTCCTCCACGGTTCGTCTGTGGGGCTTTCACAGAAGAACCAGACCCTCGTTCCCCGAGGCCGCGCCCCCGACAGGCCACCGTTGTGCCTGCTGGAGATTACCACCCGCCGGGCACGGTCAGGGGCAAATGTCGCTGCTTCATTCTCTTCTTGCCCTGTTGGTCGCTTGACCATGGTGCCCAAAGGGACCGGAGGCTGCTGGCAGACACCCCCCCCCCAGGAGCCAGGGCTTCTGATCCCACAGGGCTGAATTTACAGGGACAGGAAGCAGAGAGCCCGCAGACGGGCCACGGGGGCTGAGGGTGCCAGGATGCCCAGCCATCTGGGATGTGGCGCCATCCGTTCAAAACGTAGACCTCATGTTGACATCCGGGACCCCAATCCCAGACGGTGTCGTTCCCCAAGCTGGTACTTGGATGCGCTGTAAAGAGGCCGCACGGATGCATTCGGCCACCTGGCTGCCACGCCGCAGGGCCCACGGACGCCACACTGTGTCCTTGTCACCTTCCCTGCACCGTAAAGTGGATCCCCTTGGTTAGAGGGGACACTGTGTGGGATCTCATGGGATAAATCATTTCCTTTGTGTCCTTGGATATTGGCACGTGGGCCCGGAAGGCAAGTCCATATCCAGAATGCGCATGATCTGGGGCACCTGGGGGGCTCAGTCGGCTAAACGTGGACTTCGGCTCAGGTCATGATCCCGTGGTTCTTGAGTTCGAGCCCCGCGTCGGGCTCTGTGCTGACGGCTCAGAGCCTGGAGCTGCTTCCGATTCCGTGTCTCCTTCTCTCCCTGCCCCTCCCCTGCTCATGCTCTCTCCCTCTCTTCCTCTCTCTCTAACTAACACTAGAATGTGCATAATCCCAGTAAGGAAATATCGCCCCTCCATTCGGATCATAAGAGGTACACTGTGGCCACCATGCTTCCCAGAGGCTGGTCGGTCTCTTTGAGGGACGCCACCATGTCGAGGGCTCAGCATCTGTCTGTGCAGCTGACAAGCCAAGCAGCCCACAGCGGCTCTGCCAGCCTTGGTGACAGGGAGCCTGGGCTGACTGTCCGCAGCCATAACTGCTCCATTCAGGGCCCTGGCGTGGGGGACAAAGGCCTCCTCCCCTCCAGTCTCCTCCCCCTGCCCGTCTCCTCCCCCGCAGTCTCCTCCTCCCCAGTCACCTCCCCCCTGCAAACTAGGGTGGCCAGTGTGGGAACCTCCTCCCTTTCAGCTCACATCAGGACATCAATGTGACACCACCCCCCACTCCGGTGAAGCAGCCTGGGCTTCCTCTTCCTCTGAAGCCTGGTCACAGAGATGCCCCTTGAGGCCCTAGGTGAGCTGAGACAGTCTCGGTTCGACACAGATCGGACTTGTGTGAGTCCAGTCTCCCTGCCCTCGGAGCTCACCGGTGCTCTCCAAACACACTCGCCCACGTGTGCTCGTGACTCAGTGGCTCCAAATTCCCAGATCTTGTTATTTATTTATTTATTTTAATGTTTATTTTTTGAGAGAGAGAGAAAGAGACAAAGTGTGAGCAGGGGAGGGGCAGAGAGAGAGGGAGACCCAGAATCTGAAGCAGCTCCAGGCTCTGAGCTGTCAGCACAGAGCCCCATGCGGGGCTCGAACCCACAGACTTCGAGATCATGACCTGAGCGGAAGTCGGATGCCCAGCTGACTGAGCTACCCAGGCGCCCCTGAATTCCCAGATCTTAACAGGACAGGGAGACAGGGAGAGAAGGACTCCCATAAATAATTCAGTAAACGATCCAAACAATGGGAGCAGGTGATGACTGTGGCCATCTGGAGCTTGAAGCTGCTGGGAGTGAGGGGACACGGGAGCCGTGCCTCA